TTGTCCCTTTCCCCCCCCCGCACCACCGGTTCGCACGGTTGGCTACGTACGGTGCGAAAGAAGTTCAACATACACACATACGTCGGTATACATCTCAACGCCGGCGCAGCTGTGTAGGCGGAGCGGTGGCGCTGTGGTGAGCGCACTGCACTGCGAACCCAGCGACCTCAGGTTTGTTTACCGGTCGCGGCTAAGACGAGTGGTTTGTGGACTGGTCATAATCTCCACGGGGAGGGGACGTCTTCATTCAGCAGTGGATTGATACTGATATGAAGAGATGTCCCGATGCCTCTATTCATTGATTAAGATCGATCCTTAAGCTCACGATACATGACGTCCTAAATCATGTGTGTGTGTGATTTGTAACATCGTCATCATTAAAGTCGTTTCCATCGTCGACGTCGTCTCTACGACCTCCGTGACCTTCACCACCACCCCACCAACACTGCCACCACGACCATGGGGGCATCGTCACTGATGAGGCATCTCCAGCCCCCCATCCCCCCGGCCCCCTCCCCCCGGTCCCCTCCCCACGGCCCCTCCCCCCGGCCCCCTCCCCCCTCCCCCCGGCCCCCTCCCCCCGGCCCCCTCCACTCGGCCCCCCTCCACCCACGAACCCCGTCTCTGCTGTTATTTTCTTTAAAATTTTGATAGACGGAGCGCGGAGTTTGCGGGATGTGATGCATGGGAGAACGCGCACACCGGCGGCATACAAAACACACACACACAAACACACACACGAAAAACACGCACACACACACACAAAACACGCACACACAAACACACACACAAAACACACACACACAAACACACACACGCGCACACACACACGGGGAGAGAGATGGGGGAGACGGAGGGATAGTGAGAGAGGAGGAATGGAGGGAGGGTGAGATGGAGGGGGATGGGGAGAGGGGTTATGGAAACAGGGGACGGAGGGAAGGAGAGATGGAGGGGGTGAGAGGGATGGAGGAAAGGCGGGCGGGGGGTGGGGATGGAAGGGGATGGAGGGAGGGCTGGGAGGGAGAGACGGTGGGGGATGGAGACAGAGAGGGAGGGAGAAAGGGAGGGATGGAGGAGGAGGAGGTAAAAAAAAGAGCAAGTGGGGAGAGAGTGAAAGAGAAAAGAATGACGCGAGACACAGGAGGGTGAGGCCGTGCGAGAGGGAGAGAGCTGGAGATTGAGGGAGGGAGAGGGAAATGGAGGGAGGGAGATTGAGGGAGGGAGAGGGAGGGTTTGATATCCCTGGCGACCCAGGCAGCTACAGGCAGCGTCTTTGTCGTGTGCGTATCTGTGCGGAGCGGTGGCGCAATGGTTAGCGACACTGCGCTATGAACCCGACGACCTGACTCCGATCCGCGACCACGGCTAACGTCAGTGGCGAGTGCTGTCTGAACCAGTCCAGGGTCTCGCTCAGGTCGATTCAGTATTAAGTGAACAACCTGTGGGGGAGACAAAGGCGGCCGGGCGTGGTGGTGCTTACCACACCACCCTCTCGAGGGAGTAGTAGGGGAGTGGTAGTGTAGCGGTTAGCGCGCTGCGCTACCAACCCGGCTGCCCGAATTCGATTCCTGCACCGGTCTGGGGCCTCCCTTAGGTTGACTCGGCCTTAACTGAGTACCTGGTGCGTTGTGTAAACATCGCCACGAGGGAGACAAAGGCGGCCGGGCGTGGTTGCTGGCCACCCACCCCCTCGTATGCCGTGCCGGCCTACATAGGTGCTCGCTAACAGCACTTGCCCCAACAGTCTGTTAAGGCTATACGGGGGATCTTTGTCTTTGTAAGTGTGCGCACACGAGCCGAGTTAATCCGCACAGCCTCTTCGTAGAAAACCTCCAGCGGGGAGACGGAGCGATGGAATCAGCCCGAGGTGCAGGTGCTAGAGATGTATTGCTGCATCGCAGGATCGTGAGAGACGGCGATGCCTCGTGCAGACCTTCATCCAGCAGTGGATGGATCGTTGCTGCTGCTGCTGATGATGATGCCTATGATATACGTGTGTGCATAAACAAATCACTGCCGTTCGCCACGAAGAGGCGCTGACGTCACCACGAAGCTTGTGCCAGGCTAGGTGCACCTTGAGGCTACGTGAAGTGTGGACGGCTCGCTCGCAGGAAGTCAAGGGACATGGGTTGACCGACTGAGATGGCTGGCAAATACACCACCTGCGCTCCCCAATGTGCCAACTTGTTGCGTTCAACCGCCCGGCGCTCGACTCGTTGTTGTGAGCGCCGCACCTCAGACATCCGCTGTTGTGGGAAATACGGCAGCGTCATATACACACACACGAGACACAGATCCCCCGTGTAGCCTTCATCTACTTTTGGGGCATGTGCCGTCAGCGAACACCCATTAACGCCGGAGCAGTACGTGGTGGGGTAGGTGACCAAGCATCACGCCCGGCCGCCTTGTTTACACACAACACCGGATACTCATTTGAGGCTGAACCGACCTAGGGGAGGCCCAGGACAGGCTCAGATAATCGTCACCGGTGTTGGCCAGATTCTGGTCGCCACCTCGCCACCCACCCAACCACCCCGCTCAATCTACGAACAAAAGATCCCCTTATAGCCTTGACAGACCTTTGGTTGCAAGTGCTGCTAGCGAGCACCTACACATCATCAGTATATAAAGTGCATCCAGACACAACAAGCAACACACACGCGCGTGTGTGTGTGCGCGCGCACGGGAGGTTCATTACTCGACAACTCGTCGCTTGCGCTCTCGTCCCAACATCCAATTAAGTGCAATCGCCTAGGGGCGAGGGTCCAGGCCGCGCTAGTAATTATCCTCCGCGGCGCCTCTCGTTGCAAGACAACGGGGATCGTCTGGGAGGTGGTGGGAGGCGTGGAGGTGGAATGCCGAGGGGAGGAGGCGATTGGAGGGTGATGACGAGTTCATTGATAACGGCGGTCGTGCGTAAAGAGACAATAGACAATGGATATTGGACCATTCCAAAGCGTCGTCGTGATGATGATGATGATGATTATTATTGCGTGTAAATGACGAGTCGCGCCAGAGGAGGAGATTCTTCCGTGCGTCGTCATCGTCGTCGTCGTCATCATCGTCACGGTCGATATTTTCTCCGGCGTCATCGCAATCGTCGGTGTTGTCATCGTTGCGGCAATCGTCGTGATTATCATTACCATTGCTCTCGTCATCATCATCATAATTGTTTTAGTCATGTACGTAATTGGTGTCTGTAACTGTTTAAATCACCATCACTTGTCTCCATCATCGTTGTCTTCATAATCACCATCATTGTTTTCATCATCGTGATAATTATTCGCACAATCGTCGTAATTTTCATCATCAGCATCATCATCATCTCATAATCGTCATCGTTGTTCGCTGAGGCCGGCACGCATCACGAGGCAGGCGCGTCGAGACAAAGTCTCACGTCTCATCTCTCTCCGTGCCCCCCACGCCGCTCCCACGTAAATCCCTCAAATCCCACACCCGTGTCAGCTACAACTCCCCTCCAACTGCTCCTCCTCCTTCTTCAGCCTCGCCACGGAAAACGTTTCGGGCGCGCACCAGTATCCAGAGGCACACCGCCCCTTATCGAGCGACTCCCAAATTCATGAGCGCGCCTCAAAGGCCACGTGCGCCCGTGTTCAACAATCATCCGGCGCGTGCAGCGTGAAGCGGCCTGAGTGACACTTAAACGGTGGGAGGAATGGAGTTTGATCAGCGTGGTGAAGTCAAATAACCCCCATAACCTACACGGCGTGGGGAGGCCTTCATCCGTTGGTGGATTGAGAATGGCTTGTGAATACAATGCTGCCGTATTACCCGATGCTACTGGCAAGATCACTCCGTAGAAACGACGGGGCCCTCTGGAACGCGAGCCCCGGATGCTGGCTTCCCTCTCCCATTGTCAGAGCGGACACCACTCCCAACCAATTTATGTATGTTAGGTTGAACTTATTTCGCACCGTACGTAGTCAACCGTGCTAATCGGAGGTGCGGGGGAAGGACAACAAACTATACACACAAAGCAGTTCTAAACAAATGAGTTGTAAAGCTAGATTATTTAAGAAATGCATAGCTCCAGTGGCTTCATAATATCGGAAGGAAGAGCGTTCCAGACGGCCACAGAAGCGCATCTGAAATCGCCGCACAGTCTTTGTTTGATGGTGAGCCAAAAGCCGCCGCTGCGAGGATTACCGAATGATGATCATGATCATTATAATTTTGTGCTATTGATTTGGCAGTGGTGCACAAACAGGAAAAAGAGCTAGTTTCTAACATGCGTCAGAAACTACCTCAAAAGGAAGTGAGTATATAACAAGCGACGTTTTGAGCAATGACCCTTCCTCGTGGAACCTTATTTCGCTTATAACTCAAAAGCAATAAAAACCAAAAACAGCACAAGGACGAGGAATATTCCCGCTGTCCAAAATTCCCCCTTAAACCTCGGCGGCCACCGCCTCACTGCCATCTGCGAGTGGCAAAGCAATAGAAACACACGCCGAGCGAATCGCGAGCGAGCGCCATCAGTGTCCGTGTGATATGGGCCAAGGCGAGTAAAGATAGAGAGAGAGGAGGGGGGCGGGTGGTATTCACGCCAATTGTCGTGTACGTATTGTCGAGGATGGACGTCGGGCGAGTACAGACACGACTGCGTTGGAGGAGCCGAGAATTCGAAGGCGAGCGTGAGGGCGACGAATGGGCGGTGGTGTCTTCATCACAAACGCCCCTTGAGCCGATTTTAATTTAGCAACACTCGAACTGCTGCCCCCTCGGGGATCGACGGCTGTTGGACTCCCCCATCCTGCAATCCCCACATTCCCAGGATGGCGACCCACGAACCCCCGTCCTCGCATCACCCATCACCGACCTCCCGTCATCATCACCAACAGCATCATTCGCCTTCCCCTCCTTCTCCTGTCCACACTCACCCCCCACCCTGGCTCTCTAACAGCCCCCCCCCCCGCGCCTCCTCCTCCTCCTCTATAAAGCTCAGCAGAGAGCAAACGCCGCGGCTGTCGACTTCGGTTCCCTTGGTTGGGAGGCGGGAGGAGGGACGCGCACCGGAGGGAAGGGGATCGACCTCCTGGACACGAATTTGGTGCTCGCTCACGGCGCGGGTGGCGTTCTACGATGGATATCCAGAAGGACACGTGGTCGCGACCTGTGAGTCAATACGTACAAGTTTCACACCTGGACACGGGGGGGGGGGGGGGGCTAGGTGAGTTCACGTGTATGTGTTGGGAGCGGTGGCGCGGTGGTGAGTGCACTGCGTGCCGAATCGGTCCTTGGTCTCCTCCTAGGTTGACTCAGCCTTAAATTAGTACCTAGCGCGGTGTGTACACAGTGGGGGGGATAAATGCGTCCGGGCGTGGTAATGGACACCCACCCCCTTGTGTTGCCGTGCCGGCCTTCATATGTGCTCGCTAACAGCACTTGCCCTAAAAATCTGTTAAAGGCTACGTGGGGGGGGGGGGGGGATGTTCGTCTGTGTGTGTGTGTGTTCCTCTGTGTATCTAAAGCCCACGGTTGCTGACTCCAGCCAAGTCATGCAGGGTTGTTCCATTTATAGACGCCTCCACCGGAATGTTTCATCTCAAAGCCCCTCCGTGTGTGTGTATCGCTCTACGCACACGGAGGGCGACCTTCGCAGGAGGGCCTTCTAAGAACACGGCGGTGACACGTGGACACACGCCGGCCTTCGTCGCCTGGGCGTTTCTGATGATGATGATGACGGTGATGAGTTGTGTTTGTTTGCTATCTTTACCAATGTCAATGCACTTTCAAAATAATCCATCGCTTTCACCATCTTCAATCACCTTTTGCGGCGAGGAAACTATTTACCCGCGTGTGTGTGTGTTTTCGCGTGTGCATGTGTAAACATTGCAACGAGAGAGATAAAGGCGGCCGGGCGTGGTGCTGGTCACTAACCCCCTTGTGTGCCGTGCCGTCCTTCATAGTTTCTCGCTAACAACACTTGCCCCAACGGTATGTTAAGATTATAGGAGGGGATCATTGTATTTGTATCTCTGTGACTACATTGCTCTGTGTTATATATCATGTATATGTAGTATTGTATATATGTGTGTGTATGTATGTGTTTGGGTGTGCATACCGTATATGTTTTTTTCTCTGTGTCTCTAAGTCACGCTACTGAGTGCAGCCGAAGTTATATTTGAAGTCTGGCTGCACTCGCACGGACGTAAGTGACGACACTGGCCCAGTCTGGGGAATTGCCAACAGCTGTTGTATTTAGAGACATCCGCCACCACCACAGTGACCACCACCACCACCACCACGGTGACCACCACCACCACCACAGTGACCACCACCACCACAGTGACCACCACCACGGTGACCACCACCACCACAGTGACCACCACCACCACATTGACCACCACCACGGTGACCACCACCACCACAGTGACCACCACCACCACGGTGACCACTACCACCACGGTGACCACCACCACCACCACAGTGACCACCACCACCACAGTGACCACCACCACAGTGACCACCACCACCACGGTGACCACCACCACCACGGTGACCACCACCACCACAGTGACCACCACCACAGTGACCACCACCACGGTGACCACCACCACAGTGACCACCACCACCACGGTGACCACCACCACCACGGTGACCACCACCACCACCACGGTGACCACCACCACCACAGTGACCACCACCACAGTGACCACCACCACCACGGTGACCACCACCACCACGGTGACCACCACCACCACAGTGACCACCACCACGATGACCACCACCACCACAGTGACCACCACAGTGACCACCACCACCACCACGGTGACCACCACCACAGTGACCACCACCACGGTGACCACCACCACCACCACCACAGTGACCACCACCACGGTGACCACCACCACAGTGACCACCACCACAGTGACCACCACCACGGTGACCACCACCACAGTGACCACCACCACGATGACCACCACCACCACAGTGACCACCACAGTGACCACCACCACCACCACGGTGACCACCACCACGGTGACCACCACCACGGTGACCACCACCAGCCTGCATATACTAGTTGTGATCGGATCACTGGCATCACGGACACACACACACACGGTGGAGCCGGGACGATTATTCGTTTCGGTCGATTAATCGACTAACATTGGAGGCGACTGCTTTTGATGACGATGGTTTTAATCACGATTGTGAGTATTGATTAGGATGATAATTAATATAGCCATTGATTGAGATTCGTACATGGTATTTGTTACGGCAAATGATGATGATGCGGAGGAGGAGAGTTGTGATGGTGGTGGTTGTCTTGGTGAAGATGTCGGTAGTGGTGTTGGTTGTGATAACAATGATGATGACACTGTACTTGCATAAATCCTGTGGTCAAATACTCGGACCCCTTTAAAAACCGGTGGCCGCTCAGCCCATCCTGCCTCGAGAAAGGCGAGAAACCCCCAACATGTGACGTCTGGCGTGACGCGAGGCCGATGATCCCTGTGACGTCACCAAGCCTCGCCAATCGGCTCCCGTGCACGTGCTAAGCCCGATGCGGTCCTTTAAGAGTCCCGACTGTTTTCGTGCTCTCCGCTGATTATTATTCGAGTAATCTGTTACTTAAATAGCCAGCTCAGGCGGCTCAGAGGGATAGCGAGTTGGAGGTGTTCACTCAGCCCATCACCCCCCCCCCCCTCTCTCTGGGGATCGATAAAACGAGCACTGTATTGTGGCTGTCAAATGGACAGACTCGTCGCCGTCATAGGAATGAGGAATGTCCACCCACTAGCTCGTAGACTGTGACGCAGGAGATGAACACCAACGCCTCGCTGCTCGTTTGAGTAGAAAACCGCTTTTACTTTTGACGAAAGAGCACGTGTCCTATCCCTTAGACATGAAGAAAAGGGGCAGTCAAACGCCTGCCTCGTGTCCTCTGTTTGTTGTTGAGGAGGAGGCGGCAGAGCTTGCAGGGGGACGCGGGGGCGAACATTTCACGGGCGAGGCACCCGGTCTCGGTCCATCTCAACTGGGCAATGAGACCACTTTCAGAATGGGACATCTTTATTTATCCTGGAGAAATCCGATGAGCTACGAATCATTTTTCCCCACAAATGTCCAATACCGGGGAAAGCAGATTCATCGCATTACCATCAACGTGCGATGATGAAAATGTAACATGGTTACATGGTTTAAATTACTCAAGTCAAATAGATATCCTAGAGTTCCACAGTGCGGGTGTCACGTGAGAGAAGGCCCAGGGAGTGCCACATTGCGGGTGTCACGTGAGAGAAGGCCCAGGGAGTGCCACAGTGCGGGTGCCACGGGAGAGAAGGCCCAGGGAGTGCCACATTGCGGGTGTCACGGGAGAGAAGGCCCAGAAGATCACCCATTGACTTGAGCTTCCTTCTGGGGATGCCGAGGAGGAGATCTCGATCCGCCCACCTCAGAGTTATTGTTGTCATTACAGACGCGGGAGCGTAGCGATACAGTACAACAGTTGATTTTACTGCACTGCACCTCTTGCCCCCCCCCCCCTTCTCCTCCCCCCCAGTCCACTGGTCTGAGCTGATGACGGGACCCCTCGGGTACGGCCGGGAGGCTCCGCACCCCACAGTCGAATCCACGAAAGAAGGAACCCCCCTCGGCACGGACCTCTCGGGGCTCCCGCGGGGGCCAAGTCGCCCCCTCCCCTCCCCCCCTACGCGGCCCCCTTTGGGGGGCGCGGACGGGGTCGGAGGGGCGGCTCTGGACTGCGCGGCTGGAGTCTGCGTCACGGTGCGTCTGGGGGTGGGTGGGTGGCCAGCACTACGCCCGGCCGCCTTTGTCTCGCCAGTGGCGATGTTTATTACACACCGCACCAGGTATTAATTTGAGGCTGAGTCGACATAGGGGAGGCCCAGGACCGGTTCAGATAATCGTCACCGGTGTTGGCCGTGAGCGGGAATCCAACTCGGGTCGCCGGGTTCGTAGCGCTAACCGCTGCACCCTCCCTCCCTTTCCAACCCCGCAACAAAGATGCCCCAGGTGGCCCTTAGCAGACTGTTGGGGGCAAAGTTGCCGTTGACTTGCACTGCACCACGCGGTGCAGTGATTTTAGCTGTGACGGTCCCACCTGATGACGGAGACTTGTGTTGCCTCCGAAACGTCGTGCTTTGTTATTTTATTTTATTTCCATTATTAATTTTATTAACTTTTAATTAAATTTTTTACCTACGTGACTTTACCGAATGGACCTAAGAGTATGACACCACGCAGCTGCAGCGGCAGCAGCTTTTAAGTTGAGGCTGAGTCGACACAGAATCGCGTTATTAGAATGACGCTTCGCCGTGTAAGTGTTTATATGGCTGTGGATTTGAGCTGATGTTTGTGGACCTCTGTGAATGTAACTGGCATTGGCCAAAGATCCCAATGACAATTTCAAATTTGCCAAATGTAAGAGAGAGAAAAAAAATACCTTCAAATTGCTCAATTGGGATCGCACGTAACAGCAACCACCATCGCTCCCCGACAGCAACAACAACAAGAACAACAAAACAGCTCGGCAGGACCCTCTTGAAAACAAGTGTCACGAGACACTCGGTGAAGTTTTTTCTGAGTAGAACAGCGACAATCCCGCGTTCTCATGAGTCCCCTTGATTGCACCTGGGGCCTGAATTTGTTCTGTACGAACGTGCGATGAACTTCTTTCGCACCGTACGTAGCCGACCCTGCTAATCGAGAGGACAACAAACTAAACACAACAACAAGCAGTCTGCTTGATGACCTCTCTCCACTTGCTGCCGCTGCTCCTCACGTGACTCTCTCTCTCGCAGGTTGCCCCGTGCAAGGGGCGCGATGGGGCGCCGAACGGCCCCACGTGCGCCTACTCCTGGCTCACCAGGTCCCGAGGCAAGCAGGTGAGAACATCATCGTCATCATCATCAGCACCATTATCATCGTCATCATCATCAGCAGCAGCACCATTATCATCGTCATCATCATCAGCAGCACCAATATCATCGTCATCATTATCAGCACCAATATCATCGTCATCATCAGCAGCACCATCGTCATCATCAGCAGCGCCATTATCATCGTCATCATCATCATCAGCACCATTATCATCGTCATCATCATCATCATCAGCACCATTATCATCATCATCCACAGCACCAATAGCAGCAGCACCAATATCATTTTTCTGCTTGGTTCTTTCGGTAAAGTCACGTAGAAGGGAAATAATAAAATAATAAAAATTTAACATAATAAAATAATTCTCACGACGTTTCGGCAACAACGCAAGCAGCCGTCCTCAGGTGAAGAACAGGTCTGTCGGAAAGACAGCGTCTCATCATCGATGACTGCTACGTGAGAAATGTTGTATGTAAAGTCCTGCACAGAGACTCCTCTACTTGCGAACATTCGACTTACGAACTGTCAGAGATACGAACAAACCTGTCCATATGTCCAGTTACCAATTCTGACCGAGAGTCGTGAGTTCAACTGCCGCGCAATAGAGGATGGTGGTGGCATCTACATCTGCAGAACGTGAAGAACCAGTGGCATCTACATATACAGGAGATTATACAACTTTTAAAAGCCACTCCCCGTGTTTATTGTACATGCCTTACAACATGTTTGCAATCGACAGGAGTAAAGTTGGACTTACGGACAAATCGACTGACGAACAGACCTCTGCAAACGATCTCTTAATTTTTTTTTCATTCTTTGCATTATCTTCTCAATCTGGCGAAAAAATTACATTTATTGCAGCACAAATTGAAAAGATAGAGCCATTTTTTTTATTAACCGCATCAGTGGAAAAAAACATAATAGGCGACGTTTCGGGCAATGGCTCTTGTTCATAGCATATTAATACATCAATTTCTTTGTAGTATTTTTGTTATGAAGAAACGTCACCTGTTATATATCTTTTTTTTTGCATGTTAAGGCTACACACAGCTGTTTACGGATGTGGTCATCGCGGGAGGTTTGTTTGGAGAGATTGTAAAGTTGGGGGGCCCGAATCACGGCGAGGGTTCCAGACGGGGATTCTGCATCTCCGCAGCGTCGCCCCCCGAAACGCGCAATCGTACTTTTTTTTTTGGGGGGGGGGGTTTGGGGGTAAAGACATGAAGCAAATATGTAAATAAATAAATATTCCGAGAGGAGGGATGGGGGGGGGGGTGTTGAAGAAACAAAAATCGCACGGCGGAGCAACTGGCAGACGTCTCTCATCGCCAGGCAGGTGGAGGGAGACGCCCCCCCCCCGCGTCCCCCCTCCCCCCCCCCACGGATGTCCCGTGTAAAATTAGCCAGGCAACTGGCCATGCCGTGTCATCCGTGCAACAAATCAAAAATCTACTTTAAATATCTATTAAAAACTACCGTTAAACTGTTTTTCTTATTTGTTTACAAGGTAAGGCCCACTGAGCGATAAAGCTCTTTTTCAGAAGCGACCCGGCCACAAACGATCGCTCAGCGATGAGTGGCTTATCACGTGGCAATTTACAGCGGCCACATACTCGAAGGGCACGTTTCTAAATGAGGAGGGGTAAAACCGGAGGAACGGGAGAAAAATCCTCGCCACTACGGGGAGAGAGAGACACGCAAACTCCAAATATACAGCAGCAGGCGTCAGGCTCGGGATCGAACCCAAGACCTCCTGCATCCCAGGCGAGGGAGTTAACATCTCCTAGCCACCGTGGCGACCCGCGACCCGTACCACATCCCCACTAGCATTATCAACACCACCATCGCACTCCCAGAACCAGCACGACCACTGGCACTCGCCATCACCCTGCCAGAGGGGAGGGGAGGCCGGGCGGACGGACGGACGGGGAATGTGGAAAAATGTGGGAATCTTTTCAAGTCCACCCCACCCCCACCTCCCTTTCCTAATTGGGAGCGCGTGCCGGAGGTGCCGGCCCTGCCACTATCCCCACGAGGAGAGGAGAATTCACGCGCGTGTGTGTGTGGCTGCGCGCACGTGTCAGTGCGTGAGAGAGTGAGGCTGGGAGAGATAAGAGAGGGAGAAAGCGAGAGAGACAGTGAGCGGGAACACACGCGCACACACGGGGGGGGGGGGGGGGTCCGTGAGAGTAATGGGAGAGAGACGGAGATGGCGAGAGAGACGCAGAGCGAGACACTGGCCCCAAGCGTGGAAGAGAATTCACGCGTGTGGCCGTGCCTCCGTGCGAGACGGGGGGAGACGCAGAGGCGAGGGATGGGAGAAGCGCGCAGACTTTGTCCCCGATGGCGGATGTGTAATTTGCCCGCTTGCGTGCCTGTGGTCACAGTGAGAGACAGGATTGCTGAGAATGACCCCACTTCCACGTCCCCGGTTATAAAAATAATGATAATAATGATGATGATGATGATGCACTTTAGTTACCCAGGAAAGCCTCACTGAGTGTTGGGGCTAATTCTCAGGAGGGTTCTGCAATGCTAAGGATGCTCGGCCAATATCTTGTCTTAAGGGAATCTACATAGCGCCTGAAGTAAGGCGCTTTACAGAGAATTCAGAACGGTACAACATGTGAATGTAATGGTGGATATGAGGTGAATAAAATAGATGAGAGGAAGCAATGGGGGCAAATCTGTGATGATGCTTGACTTCGCAATGAGAATGTGAAGAGGGAGCTGGAACGGACGAGACCCCAGGAATTGCGACGGTGGGCTACCAATTCATGGCGTCACCATCCCACAAAAGGAATCCACCATGGCGAGGTAGCAGTGCATGGGGTGTCAGATTGTGCCTTGCTCGCGACCGCACATCGATGAGCGTTTGGCTTCGCGCGGGAGAGGGACCCAGAGCTCCCGCAGACAAGCAGGGGGACCACGGCAAGCTGCACACAGGAATCTTGCTGCACTGCCACCATCTCCTGGCGACCGAGCAGCCCAAGCCGACCAACCCCAGTATTCCCAGACAGTTTGCTGTCCCAACCGCTAACCAGGCTCAAACCCCGCTTGGCTTGCGAGGTCAGCCACAAATCGTCACGCAGTCAGCGAGATTCGGGCATGGGCAAATGCTGCCGCTGTTGACGATGACGACGGCGACGACGATTTTTTGTATGATTACAATGTATGTATGTTGAACTTCTTTCGCACCGTACGTAGCCAACCGTGCTAATCGGAGGCGATGATCGTGATGAAGATGGTGGTGGTGGTGACGACGATGCCTTCCCGCAGGGTCGCCGAGGGAGACCCCTCGCCCCCGCTCGCTCTCCGCCGCTGCTGCCGTTGTGGGGGGCACGAAGGGGCGGACGGCAGGACCCGCGGGGGCCCCCCACGACCCAGCCGCCGCCAACCCCCAGCGGCGACCCTCCAGGCGCAGGGAAGGAAGCGAGCGCCGGGGACGAGCGCGTGCGACCCGGAGCCGAGAGCGGCGGCCGCGATGCTGGTGGCGACGTTGAGCCGCGAGCGCGCAGCGGCGATCGGTCTGTGGAGTCTCACGAGACGGCTCCTTCGATATCATCGTCGTCTTCATCCTCCTCCTCCTCGTCGTCATCACGTTCGCGGGGGCCGGTCAAGGACCCCCGCGAAGTCTGCGGCGACCCCTCGGGAAGAGTCCGAAGCTGTGGACGGACGCCAGCGGACAGCGAGGGGTCGGAGGTCGCCGTGGCCTCGAGCTCGGCACGGGGAAGGTTCGCGAGCTTGCACGGGGGCAGCCGTCCTCGCGCGTCGGGCTCTGACCCCGCCATGACCTCGACGCGACCCCTGACGGCCGCGCGCTCGCAGCCCGCGCTGCCGCCACTGGACCCGCGCGGCAGCCGCACCGCCGCCGCTAGCGGTGGGGGGCGGAGAGCTTCCTCCTGGGGTCTCGTGGTGCTGCCGCCGCGCGTGGGGTGCGTCGTGACCAAGCTGCGGGGACCCGCAGCCCCCCGCGGTGACCCCCGAGATCCCAGAGGTCGCCGAGAGCACGCGGCTGGGACGACGGCGAGCCGCGGCGGACGTCACCTCCTCCTCCGCTCCGAGGAGGTGGAGGAGGTGAAGGAGGAGCAGGACGAGCTGAAGGAGGTGAAGTCACCACCGCAGCTTGATCTGGAGTCTTCGCCGTGCGAGACCGTGGAGGAACCCGGCAAGGTGATTGGATGATGGGAAAATAAAATAAATAGATTCCAGCTATTTTCAATGTCACCACTGGATGAAGGCTTCCCCGAAATGTGCCGGTCATAGGGGTTGTTTGACCATACTACTTGATCATACTGGTGGGTAAGACCTGTTCAGATGTCACTCGCTAATGATTTTAGCCGTGACGACATGAGGATTCATAATGAATACGTATCGCCGCACCTACGAATAGCGCGGTTGGCTACGTACGGTGCGAAAGAAGTCCAACATACGCATATAGCCAATGATTGAAATTGAGGATGATTGATATTGAGGGCAAATGATGATGCAGAGGAGAGTGGTGGTGGTGGTGGTAGTTGTCTGGGTGCTGGTGGTGATGATTGTGTTGGTAGTGATGCTGCTGGTCATGATGACAAATGACATCGGTGGTTATGACAATGCACTTCCGTGATCATTAACGCATTCTCGCAATTCATCAGTTCAACACGTGGCTCATAAACAGCTTAAGAGGAGTGCCACTCCCAAGCACGTGTTAGCAGTTTAAATGTTTGTATGTGTGTGTGTCGTCTCTACTGCATTGGTTTGTGAACGTCGTAGTGTGCGTCACTTCCTTTGGGAGTATCCCAAAAGCCCCTTTGTTCTAGCGCCTTCATCAGCTGTACCGCGTGGGAAGTGCGGTGTAAATAACAATGACTGATAATGGTCAGTCAACGATGACCACTACTAGAACAGTGATGATGATGATAATGGGTGAGCTGATAACGACAATGATATATAATGAGTGAAGTGAGGACGATGATGGTTATGATGGTGATAATGATGATGGTGATTATGATGATGGTGATTATGGTGATGATGACGATGGTGTTGATGATGATGGTGATGATGATGGTGATTATGGTGATGATGGTGATGATGGTGATGATCATGGTGATGATGACGATGGTGTTGATGATGGTGATGATGATGGTGATGACGATGATGATGGTGATGATGGTGATAATGATGATGGTGATTATGGTGATGATGGTGATGATGGTGATGATGTACCCCCATAGCAAGCAGCCCGTGGGCGCTTTTGGGGCAAAGGGGGTCTCCTCTCCTCGTTCCTGGGCAGCCTGAGACGAAGGAAGGGACCCCGGTCCTGCGAGGGGGACCTCGCGATCCCGCAGGTACGAGCTGCCAGCAGCGCTCCCTGTCTCCTCATCCCGAAATCTCCTCCATTGAAAACTCATAATTTTTGGAACTGCTTTAATTTTGTTGGCCTTCCCCCAGCACCTTAGATCAGCGCGGTTGGCTACGTATGGTGCGAAATGAAGGTCAACATACACACATCCCCTTACAGAACCCCCCCCCACCACCGCCATCCAGACTCGGGGGTAGTGCAAGAACAATTGATCTATTTCAGTGGTTCACGTCTTACAGGCAGTACAGCGGAAATGTTTCTTAACAGCTTGTCTGGGTAGTAACGTGTTTCGCATTGTCCCCTCTTAGGCACAGGGTTTCTATCTGAGCACTGCAGTGTTGCTCCCAGAACCTAACACACAAAAACCCAAACAAGAAAAAGCACACGGTCTAACACTCCTAAAGCAGAATCCTCCGGGGAAAAAAGAGCATTGCGACTCAATATTACGTGGAAAAGGTGATCTGCGTCGTCTTGATGATGTGATTGCTAAGTTATATGTGGATGAAAGTATCACGTTCTAGAAATAAAAATATTATTTATGACGGTGTCTTTATCCCACAGATCAGCAAGTCAGCTCCCGATTGTCTCACCCCTTGCACAAGTGGGGAACAGCCTCAGAAATCTGGCGTACCTCCACTAGCACAACCACAGTCATCATCATCATCAGCTGCAGCATCAACATCGTCATCATCATCATCGGCATCAGCAGCAGCAGCGGCGGCGGCGACATCATCGCCATCGTCGTTTCGCGGCGAACGGGAAACGAGGATGGAGGCGCTCCTCGAGGAAACGTCGTCCGGGGACCAGGAGTTGGCGCACACGTGGCCGAGGAGGAGGAGGAAGAAGAAGAAGGCGAGGAAGATGAGGGCCATGACGGCGGAGGCGAACGAGGTGAAGCACTGTTCATTTTGACCGTTGCGGAGAGGGACGATCCGCAACGGTCCGGGTTTGCGTCCGAGGCATTCGTGATGAAGTGCACCCGCCGCCCGCCGGGTCCGTCTGGTTTTTTTCGTCGCTCACGTTCAACCCGTTGTTGATGTAGCGTGGCGCGTGGGGGGGGGCGCAGTGGTCAGTGCATTGCGTGATGCATTTGGCTACCTGCGATTTATTTGAGTGATGTCTGAACCGGTCCTGTGCTCCCCCTGCCCCCGTTCACACCAACCCGTACTGAGCAGCCTGGGGTAGTGTTGTCAAATAAACCCCCGTGGCCGGGAAGGCATGGGGTTGCCGTAATACAACAGTGAATCATTAGCACGGTTGGCTATGTACGGTGCGAATGAAGTTCAACATGCATACATACAAAACAAACAAAAAAGCAGTGACCTTTTAATAACTGTTGTGAATTTATGCGTGAAGGAGGTGGACTCGGAGGGACCAACGAGACAAGGAGGAGGTGAAGGAGGAGAAGAAGACCAAGGAGGAGAAGGACAGGGTGAAGGAGGAAGAGGCCACGTCAACACGAGCAGATACCCGACGCCCCCCGACTCGCCCGTCCGACCCCCGGACCCTCCGTGGGAAGGGGACCCAGTCCCGGGGTCCGGCAGAGACTCGGGGTGTCTGACGCCGCTCCACGAGTCCTGGGACACGCTCTGGTCCGAACTCCACGACGACACGGGCGCCTCCACTGAGGGCGCCGTGGGTAGCGGCTGCTCGGCTGACGAGGGCCCCGAGCTGGCCGAGGAGGCCCAGGGTCGACTCGAGGGGTCTTTTGCTGAAACGTTCGTTCGAGATGATGGGGCGTCCTCTTCTGTCTGCGGCCTTGAGGGGGTTTTCTCTGCAACTCTTGTCTATGATGTCGAGGAATCTCATTCCGGAGCCCTTGGCAATGACGGTGACCTCGAAGTGCCCATCTGTGGAACTCCTCACTTTGACCTTAACATTGAGCGACGAATCTCTGAAACTCCTAACAACCGTGAACCAGTGGTGTCTCATTGTGGAGATCCTAGCCAGGAATTTGACCACATGGGGCCCATGTTTGGCACTCCTGCTCATGACCCTGATTTTGAAGGATCTCCCTCTGGAACATCTGCTCAGGACCTACATCGTGAGAGGTCTCTCCCTGTAATCAATGAAGAACCTCTCCCTGAAAACTCTTCCCCTAGAGCCCCTGCCCATGACCTCGACCGTGAACCTCCTCTCTCCGTAACCACTGACTATGACCTTGACATTGAGGTGCCTACCACTGGACCTCCTGCCCATGACCGTGACCTCGAAGGTCGATCGTCTGAGAGTCACGGTGGGAGGGAGCCCCACGTTCCCCTCTCCAACCTCCACCATCGCCCTGGAGCTCGCAGCTCTTCTCCACTCGTAGCGGGCGCTCGTGAAACTGCGGCGTCCGGAACGCCGGTGGCAATGGCCAGGGATGGTCCGCCCGTGCGGATGAGGCCCAAGAAGCCTGGTGCCCTCCGTGGCCTCGCGGGCCCCAGGCTCTGCGGCCTGCAGCTGCTGAGGCGTCTGCAGGCCAAGGGACCTCGGGGCGAAACCCTGGAGCCCAAGTCCGCACGACGAGGAGGTCGCCTCGACGAGGAGGAGCAGGAGGAGCAGGAGGCGAACCCGGTTGTTCGCTCGATGAGGGAGGGAGGAGTTGGTACTAATGGTCGTCATGGGGGTGATGGTGATGGCCTTGGTGGTAATATAATTGAAAATGGTGGTAACACTGTTACACAAGATGGCGGTGGTGGTCACAATGGTCAGGGTTGTTTTGGAAGAGTTGGTGGTAACTTTGAAAGTAACGGATTTAGAGATAACGGAGTTCAAGGTGGTAGTGGTGGCGTTGGGGGTTCTAAAGGAGGTCATAATGGTGGTGGTGACGTGGGAAGTGATGTTTTTTGTGAGGTCGATGGTCGTTTTGGAGGTGACGGATCTAGAGATGGAGGTGGATGCGGTGGAGGTGATCGTCTAGGCAAGGGCTCGAGAGGTGAGCCTGGCGGTGGTCATGGAAGAGGGGATGCTCTCGCAGGAGGTGGTGGACATGGTCACATTGGAGGCGATGGGCCTAGCGGTGTGGCTGTCCTAGGTGGTGGTGTTCCAGGCAGTGGTGGTGCGAACAGTTATGTACGAGCGGCGGGAGTAGGCGGAGGAGATACGTGTCTCTTTCCAGGTAATGGATCCGTAGGTGTTCATGGGGGAAAGCCGGCTCGGCTCGAGGGACGACGAGAGGAGGATGATGATGATGGTGATGTTGTGAAGGAGGTAGGTGAGGTCTGGGACCCGTGCAGGGGAACAGAGAGGCGGGGAGGCTATGATGATGATGAGGATGGTCACGAGACGTCCCACGAGTGGCATCTGCGCAGAGGCTCCCGCATCAGCCTGATGCACGTGCAGCTGGAGGAGGCCTGGGACCGACTCGCGGCCTCCCTCGCTCGCGACCACAACAACAACAACAGCATCACCGGCAACAACAACGACACCAACAGTAACAGCAGCAGCTACAAGCACGTTGTGAATAATATCATCGGCAGCAGCTGTTATAGCCACGATAGCAGCAATAACCACACGAGAATCGGGAGGAGCAGCAGTAATCATAACAGCAACAACGGCAACAGTCGATATCGCGTGAGCAGCATCCGAGATCAGTGGCAACCGCAACAGCAGCAGCAGCAACAGCAGAGGCGGGGAGAGTTGTTGTGACGGGTGTTTTATTCTGCATGTAACGATTAATCGAGAATGTATTCTCACGAAGCGTGCACGCAACAATCGATGATTGGCAGTGTACGCTAAATATATATACGAATGTTATAGCTATTCTTTATTATTATTATTATGTTTTTACAGTCTTTTTTATTGTGCCATGCCAACGTCTCATTTCGGTCATTCGGAGCGCACGGAGGGAGAACGAACGAAACAACAACGCAATCGAGACGACGCTGTTGCTGCTGTTGTTACTGCTGCTGCTGTTGCTGCTGTTGTTACTGCTGCTGCTGTTGCTGCTGCTGCTGTTGCTGCTGTTGCTGTTGTTACTGCTGTTGTTACTGCTGCTGCTGTTGCTGCTGTTGTTACTGCTGCTGCTGTTGCTGCTGTTGTTGCTGCTTTTGCTGCTGCTGTTGCTGCTGCTGTTGATGCTGCTGTTGTTGCTGTTGCTGCTGCTGTTGTTGCTGCTGTTGCTGCTGTTGTTGCTGATGTTGCTGATGTTGCTGCTGCTGTTGCTGCTGCTGCTGTTGCTGCTGTTGTTGCTGCTGCTGCTGTTGTTGCTGCTGCTGTTGCTGCTGCTGCTGTTGTTGCTGCTGCTGTTGTTGCTGCTGCTGTTGTTGCTGCTGTTGTTGCTGCTGTTGTTGCTGCTGCTGTTGCTGCTGCTGCTGTTGCTGTTGTTGCTGCTGCTGTTGTTGCTGCTGGTGTTGCTGCTGCTGCACAGGCGCGCGAGTGTCAACAGACTCAACGGACACTGCTCGGTAGCCGTGGCGCTGGAGCGAAAGCAATCGACGTTTCGGGGAATGGCCCCCTTCTTCGTGAAAGAGGCCAAGACGTATCCGTGAAGCCATTGAATCGCCACCCACAAGAGCGCTGGGGATGGACAACCTGCGGCTCCGTGACACTTGTTGACGTGCGGCTACGTGACAGTTATTGACTTGCGTTGCGGCCCTTGGAGTATTTGCAGAATTCTTTTTAACCGAATTCGAAAAAATAAAATAAATGGATCTTGTTATTTTGGTTTCCCGGACCCCCTGCAATAGTAGAATCATCAAACTCCCTTCTTGGGAACTGCTTTCTGTGTTTAGTTTATTATCACTGCGCTCACGAATTGGAGCAGTGACCCCCTCAACTGACAGCCACAAACACGCGTCTCGGTCACTTTGAAGTCGTTTCGCTCTTTCTTTTCACTCGTTACCAAAGTTTCGCCTTTTCTGCGCGGCAACCTGCAGGCACAGACGCACGCAGCTCGAGCCGTGCGAGTTTGTTGAAACTCGCTCCCTCGCGCGCACCTCCGATTAGCACGGTTGGCTACGTACGGTGCGAAAGAAGTTCAACATGCATACATATCCATCCACCCCCCTCCTTACAGGTAACGGGATGGTGGTTGTGACGGGTTCGCTGCACACTGAACTTGCAATGCAGAGGTCGCCCGCTCGATTCGATCGTGCCGCAGTTGACTTAGGGCGAAGTTTATTAAATCCACCTCTATCCATCCAGTGGGTCGGTAGGTATGTGAAGTGGGTAACACCCCAGTCGGTCGATAGTTGGGGTAAATTGTGGCTACTTTCATCTCTCCCAAGACTTGGGGATAGGCCACTTGTGGACAGGACAAATCCCCCTCTGGACGGGATCTCTAGAGCGGTGGTTCTCAACCCGGGGGTACGCGGACCCCTGGGGGCTACGTGGCGATGTCCCACAGGGCGTACGCGAGATGATTTATAATTACGTGAAATTATATCGTCCGTGAGAGTAACTGCTGAACAATCACGTATGAATCCGCCAATTTAAAATAACCACGATAACATTTAAATCCACGTGGTAAACTAGAACGATATACTTTTTATATACTCAATGCTCGTAAACGATGTGATTCCCACGCATGCAAGAGCGTCCGTTGAATATTTTTTTTGTATTCGCTTGCAAGTTACTAGCTTAGTTAGGATACCTCACAAACGGGACAATTGGTTAACATATTGACGCTCATTATTCATACGTTTGTTTCTCAGAACCATGTTGGGTCGGACAAGGGGGGGGGGTAACTCGATTGAAACAACATTCAATAAGGAGGGGTACAGAAGCCAAACGAGGTTGCCACATCTTCTTGGTTCTTTCGGTAAATCACGTAGAAGGGAAATAATAAAAATAACTTTTTTTTTTCCCTTTACCGAAGGAACCAAGAAGATGAATCCCTGCAGTCACGAAAGCTTTAAATAGAAAAAGAGGTTGCCACAGTCTAGATCAGGGGTGGCGAACGTCTGGCCCGCAGAACGTGTAAGGCCCGCGAAATCATTTGGTGTGGCCCTGCCAAGGCAACCGCAGGCGGGACTCGAAATTCAATAAATCTAGGAGCTTTTTTCATAGCAACATCATCAATACCAGCTAACATCACACGCCTCACCAAAGAGAAGCAGTTCCAGCCATCACGTTAGGGGTGAGTTAATTAAATGTTTGACCAAATATAACAGGATAATTTTTAAGTTGATAATTTTGTATGGCCCGAGAATAATGTTATAAATATCCAAATGGCCCTTGACAGAAAAAAGGTTCTCCACCCCTGGTCTAGATCAACCTCGCGGAGGGCCCAACACTGCCAGTGGCGTGAGCAAGCAATTGCAGGGCTGCACCTCTATCTTTTGTCGTGTAAACTCGAGTGCTGGGTGAAGGCCCTCGGCGAAGAGATTGAAGTGCCCACGCTTTACCCCACCGCACGCGCCACCTGCCCATCTGTAACTGCTTCGTCGGCAGAGGCGGCTGGCGGGGAAGTGGGTCGACTCAGCCGTACAAACGGGCACCTGGTGCGGTGAGGAGTAAACATCGCCACTGGGGGGAGACAAAGGCGGCCGGGGGTGGTGCTGGCCACTCCACACCCCCCTCGTGTGCCGTTGGCCGGCTGTTATAGGCGCTGCTCGCTCACACCACTTGCTCCAACAGTCTGTCGAAGGCTATACGGGGGTTCTTTGTCTTTGGTAGTATATAATTTGATAACACTATGTAACACGATTTTTTTTCCTGGGTCGTAAGTGTTATTTTCTAATTGCGTATGTCTCAAACGTACAGAAAACGGTTATTATTCCCCACAAACTTTGCTTTTGTGACCAGGAATTTACGTAAAGGAATGACACAAATGCACACCACGTTTTCTCATTGAAAGTATGTACATTTCAAACTATCACTGTCCTGGTCACAAAAGCAAAGGTTGTGGGGAATAATAACCATTTTCTGAACTTTGAGGCATAAGCAATTAGAAAATAACACTTACTACCCAGGAACCAGAGGTGGGACAAAGTCATTGTTATGCAAGTCCAAGTCGAGTTGCAAGTCTTTGTACATTTTGCCGAGTCGAGTCTGAAGTCATCAAATTCATGACTCGAGTCTGACTCGAGTCCAAGTCACATGACTCGAGTCCACACCTCTGCCAGGAACAAAAAAATATATATTTTGATAATATTGTTTTGTTCCACAGTGTAAAAAAACAAACTTACCCATTCCTTCAACTGCCGAGATCAAACCGGCGACCTCTGGGATTGCGAGTCCAGCGTGCGGCTATGACAGCGGCCGGAAACCAGAATAACGAGAAGGGTCTTTTTTGTGTTCAAATTCGGTAAAACAAAAACGACAACAACAACCAAAACAAAAACAACAAAAAACCCCCGTTAATATTTTAAGAGTCCCTGATGCGTGCGGTGAATACGAGACGGCGGTGGTCCTTGACAGGCAGAGCCACGACGCAGTCCTTACAGAGCCACGCTCGGCTTCGGAACAGTGCTGGATTATCCTAGTAGCACAAGTAGTAGCTACATATGATGTAGTAGCTACATATGATGTCGTAGCTACATAAGATTTAGTAGCTACACATGTAGTAGCTACGGGCCCCGCACTTTCAAGGGCCCCGCGCTAAATTCTTTCAAGCTATTAATTCCGGTTCAGTGATTCTGCACTTGCTCTATTACTATAGTAGTATACTGCCTTCAACTTTTATGAACGACCGGGTGTTTAAGGTTAGCGATTTGTCGTTATTATCTGGCTGTATAGCACATGAAAAAATACAATAACTTTACTATGCAAGTTAAAAATGTGTGTTTTCATATTTACGTGTTTTTTTTATTTAGGGCCCCTTTATAACACATACGCTACAGGCCCCGCACCGGCTTAGTCCGGCACTGCTCTGAAGCCGCAGGTTTTTTGACCCCTGGGCAAATAAAAAAAAATAATTGAACGCTGCGGCACGGCATTCAGGGATTGAGAGATCAATGCGAATGATTAATTCTCGTTGCCCTCCTCGTGAACATCATCTCTGATCGTAAGCCCCTCGGCAGCGGGTGGGAGGCGAGACGGTTGTTCGGGGCGGCGTTCCCAGGGGCAGTCGGGGATCACGATCGTGTAAGCAGCGGATCCCAAAGCCAGCGGCCCGAGTTCGATTTCCACGCGCTCACGGCCCACAACACACCGGTGACGATTAATATCGGACGCACGGTCCTGGGCCTCCCCTAGGTCGACTCAGCCTAAAATGAGTACCCGGTACGCCGTGTAGTAAACACCGCCACCATGGTGACAAGCCGACTGTGCTTCTGGTCACCGCCTCGTGCGCCGTGCCGGCCTTCATCGGTGCCACTCACGAACAACACTTGCCCCGCAAGGCTGTTAAGGCTATGCGGGGAGGGGGGTGCTTTGTCTTTGTTCCCAGGGCAGACCGAGCGCGCGCCTGCGGTGTTTATGAAGAAGTTGCCCTTGGCCGAACGTGGGCCGCGTGTTTATCTCGCTGCTGTACCTCCCAAACCCCCCCCCCCCCCCATTCTCACGAGCTCTTCCCAAGGTCGCTCCCGCACCCCCCCCCCCCCCGGCTCAATCTGTAAGCGGTTGAATTAAACTCGGCTTGTTTGGTGGCAGTGCCATCGTTCGTGGTATACAAATAACACCACCACACCCACCCACCCCCCACCACCCCCACCACCCCCACACCCAACCACCTACACCACCCCCACCCACCTATACCACCCCCAACCACCCACACCACGCCCACCCACCCACTTACTTACACAACCCCCACCCACCCACACCCACACCCACCCACACAACGCCCACCCACCCACCCACACCCACCCACATCACACCGACCCACACCACACCGACCCACCCACCCATACCATCCCCACCCACCCACCTACACCACCCCCAACCACCCACACCACCCACACCCACTCACACCACCCACACCCACCCACACCACGCCCACCCACCCACACCCACCCACACCACACTGACCCAGCCACACCACCCCCACCCAACCACCTACACCACCCCCACCCACCTAGACCGCCCCCACCCACCCACACTACCCCAAGCCATATACAAAAAAACTGAACACATTCGTCAACAACATCGTGTGGCCTTAAAAAGGGAGAAAACTCAAACATATATATAATAGACGACGTTTGGAGCAATGGCCCATCATAGTTAATCGTGTATTGGTCTGGGCCATCGCCCGAAACGTCGTCCATTGTTGTCCCTCTTTAAGGCCAATTGTGCCATTGACAAACGTGCTTGCGGTCGTATTGGTGGCAGGCGCGTGTTTGGCTGGCGAATCTGCATGCGCACGCAGGCGCGACACCGACACACATGCGAAGACATTCCCGCATAGATGCAGAGATGCGATTCCTCGTTGGTGGATGCCCTCTCTCCAGCACACGCGCGTGACCCCTCGTCCTAGCGCGCGCACGTGAGTGGCCATGCGACGATGTTGCTCCGCATCGCCTGCGCGCCACGCTCAGACTCGGCCGACAGAGGGACCTTTCCGACCGCAATGGGGGGTACAGGAACCCCGAAATGCGTGGTGTCATCTCGACTGTAAGTGTGTTTTTTTGGTTGAGATCGCTGTAAGGATAAGTGTCGTGTCGTAACCCTTCACCGTCCGACACAGCCAGTAAGGGTTGTCACGTAAACAACGCGTCAATTAGTTACTACTTCAGCCCACCGGTGTGTTGGAGAGTAAATCCACAACATTTACCATTTGAGTAGTACGACGTTTCGCTAGTAATTACATCAACCAGCATCATCCGGTCTTAAATAAAGCAGGATGACGTCTTCGCTGGATATCAGAGGCGGAGGAGGGGGTTATTGTAATTATATAAGAGATTAGTATTAAGTACATCTTCCAACTACAATTCCTAATAGAGGAAACACATACTAATTAACGGATTACTAATCTAATATAGAAGTAGTAACTGTGTCGGGTGGTGGAGGGTTACGACACATTTATACTTACGCGATCGCACCCAAAACCCTTCATTATGAATAATATTATTCATAATCAACGTTTTTGGGTTTAGATCGCGTTATTTATAAATGTGTCGTAACCCTCCACCACCCGACACGGCCAATCAGTAAAAAAGTGTCACGTTGACAAAAGACAAATAGTTCACTGCTTTAGCCCACCGGTGTGTTGAAGCGTGAAACCACAACATTTACAATTTGAGTAGTACGACGTTTCGCTGGTAATTGCATCCAGCATCATCGGGCAATTCGCCGGTGGGCTAAAGCAGTAAACTATTTGTCTTTTGTCAACGTGACACTTTTTTACTGATTGGCCGTGTCGGGTGGTGGAGGGTTACGACACATTTATAAATAACGCGATCTAAACCCAAAAACGTTGATTATGAATAATATTGGTCGCGAAAGCCTACGTGTTAAAATGAATAATATTGGTCGCGAAAGCCTACGTAAACTCAACTGTAGTGCTTTGAAGCATCATCATCATCATCAGCCATGTTTTATCCACTGCTGGCAGAAGGCCTCTCTCTCCACATCGTCGCCATGACCCGCAGACCGGCAAAGTCACGGTCCATCTCGCTCCTTGGGCATGAGCTGAACTCGTCGTCTCCGCGGTGATCATCCTCCAGGGGCAAGATCCCTTCCTCCGGCTGTCAGTCAAGTCTCGTCCATCGCCTATCATCCATCCCCTCGAGCAAACATAAACAGCCTCTTGAAAGACCCAACGCGGAATATCGCTGGTTTTGATCTAACACAAAGCTCATGTTCTTGGTTTTTTAGGTAAAGTTACGTAGAAGGGAAGTAATAAAATAATAAAAATAAAACATAATAAAATAATTCTCACGACGTTTCGGCTACAACGCGAGAATTATTTTATTATGTTTTACTTTTATTATTGTATTACTTCCCTTCTACGTGACTTTACCGAAAAAACCAAGAAGATGAATCCCTGCAAGTCACGAAAGCTTTAAATCGAAACAAAGCTCATGGTCCACCCTAAATTACATCTGCACAAACCGTGGCAGATGCGGATACCTGACGCACAAATGAAAAATTAAAAACTCTCGCGTGTGCGACTGGGCTCATCCAGAACAACGACGTATAACGACACCGCGACCGATCCTCAAATACGAAGGAAACATCGCAGCGACGATGTCAATCCGCTGCTCCTGACGCAGTTGTCTGGCTTGACCACCTGAATGTGAAATTGCAGTTGTCGCTCTGCGTCTACATCAGCAGCCGTACGAAAGAAAGAAGTGGAAGAAGACCCCCCTCTCTAGCGACGTGCCCTACCCGGGGCCACTTCCCGTTCCTACACAGACGTCGTTGATGTCTCTAAATTGTTGTGTCTCCTGGTCCGTGCGTTACTCCTCCTCCTCCTCTCTCTCTCGGCGTGAAGGCTTGTGTTCACACGCGTTGCTCTCGATCCCTCGTGTGTGTCGGTGCCCGGCGTGCCCACCCGTTGATACAAAAGAAAAAAACGCGTAAGCCTTGGGCAGGCAATACGCAAGGAGTGAATGTGCATTAACCTTGCAGCGCACTGGAATGTTCACGTTTATGAGCAAAATTCCGTTGTACAGAAGCAATCCAACCCGCTGGCAACGCCTCTTTATTAAATCAGTTTTACTCACGATCTGCCTTCAATAATTGTCGTAGATATATGTACACACACCCTCACGCGTTTCCTCGCTGTGTCCCTTCCAGCGTTTATTGCTTTTGCTCACTAAACGTGTATGCGGCCCTAATCAACCCTAGCCATGAACCCTAATCACACGAGCCAATCAAACTCTAGCACGACCCATGACCCTAATGCATTGTCCGATGTTTCGCTCCAGGAGCTTGGCGCTTCTCCGGCAACGTAAAGGTCGGACGTCATGCCGAACGACACGTGCTGGATGAAGCTAGCGCCGGGGCCTGTAGCATGTGTTATAAAGGGGCCCTAAATAAAAAAAAACACGTAAATATTAAAACACCAATTTTTCACTTGCATAGTAAAGTCATTGTGTTTTTTCATTTGCTATACAGCCAGATAATACGACAAATCGCTAACCTTAAACACCCAGTCGTTCATAAAAGCTGAAGGCAGTATAGTACTATAGTAATAGAGCAAGTGCAGAATTACTGAACCGAAATTAATAGCTTGAAGGCATTTAGCACGGGGCCCTTGAAGGTGCAGGGCCCATAGCATTTGTAGCGACTTTTGCTACTAGGATAATCCGGCACTGCGAACAACACGTGGTACAACCTTAAGAGGAAATATATCACAGGCAACGTTTCGGGCAATGGCCCTTGATAGCAACGTAACATTGATCACACCTGCGGAAACATGCGCGTTCGGTTTGAGATTCGCTCGTAAGAGACAACGGTAACAAAACTACGTTTAAAGTTACTGTCGAGCGATAGGAGGTGTGCTGGGTGTGAGGTCCTCGTTTCAGCCACTCAACCATCAGCGATCGACGCACCGAGTTGATTGTTTCTGCCCGGTCACCAATGGGTTCCGTTGAAAACACACACAAAAGACCGAGAAGAATTTAGTTTTTCTCTTTAAATTTGGCTAAATTCCAGCTCTGGGAATTAAAAATAGCGGTTTAGCGGCCACGTGATGAATATTCCTCTGTATAAGGTTACATGGATAAGCAGGTCACTCGAATGGATCTCGCAAGTAGTTTTAATTTCTGGAGCATTATAAGGCCGTTGGGGGTTGAGTGGTGGCACAGCAGTTGGCACACATCGCTATGGAGCCAACAACATCATTGGGATCTAAGTAAACCGGTCCCGTGCACCAAACTGCACTGGCCAGCGTGGTGAAGTATGGTCAAACTACGCTCATCACTGAAAGTGAAAAATGGCTGATGGACGAACAATATTTAGTATGCATTATGTGAAGAGACTCATAATGCTGTTGTGGAACCATATATAGCGTGACGCTGCACAACATCACATAACGCGTTTGTTATTCATTTAGACGGACACTCGGCGCAGAGGAATCTAACAAGGCATTGTTCATTAGAGCGTGTTTACCCAGGAAAGCCTCACCGAGTCTCGTGCCTCTGTGTTTTTTCAGGAGAATTCCTGCCAAGTTTTCGCGGTAGGGGGCGATAATTGCCATCAATAATCGCGCGCAATTTCAGACAGTTGGCAAAATTTGGACCTTGGTGTCGGCGCGCAACGGCCCGCTCGTGCGAACGACGCCACGGGATCTCTTTAGCGGCCACCGTGGACGTGTATATTTTTGTAGAGTCCAGACACCCGCAGTAATAACCAGGGCGGCCGCTGACATCGGAACCGCGAACCTCTGCAGGCGAGCAATCGGGAGAGGTGGCGTGAACTCGTCTCGATAGCACGCGCGGACACGCGTACCGATCTCTGATGACGACGACGATGACGACGATGATGACGATACTTTGCAATGAGAAATCACCGAGGTTAGCAACGCGATGGATGCTGCAGGGGTGTAAATGGTTCGCAGCACGATGGACTTGCAATTCAGTGGGGTCGCCGGTTCGATCTTCCGACGCAACAGTTGAAACAGTGGGCCACTTCTTCCCTTTATTAATGCTACCCCTATCCCCTCCCTGTGATGCTGCTAATCCTGCATCATGCACGGGCAAAGTAGCACTAATCACATATCTGCATTTCCCATATCCCCTCCCTTGGATGCTGCTAATCCTGCATAATGCACTTACACAAGTAGTACTAATCACATACCTGCATTTCCCATGGGTATGCTGGATTCCTCTTGATATGCAAATTCTTTTGTCAAGGCGCCCCCTTTCCCCCCCCCCCTTCCAACCCAGCTTATATATATATGCTCCAAGCACGTGTGCTGTTTCATTCAGACGCTGTCGCCTCGACAGACCTGGTTTCACCTGAGGACGGCTACTTGCGTTGTGGCCGAAACGTCGTGAGAATTATTTTATTGTTTAATTTTTATTATTTTATTACTTCCCTTCTACGTGACTTTACCGAAAGAACCAAGAAGATGAGTGGGCCAGGTGTTCTCACATCCACGCCGGCCGTTCGTCCACTCGGCAGTGCACAACGTGAGACCGTGGGAAAGATGGATCGAGCGCAGCTTCACGAGGATTGCCAATCTGAGAAATTCTGATTAAAGTGATGCCAATATGCCCCCCTTTCCCATATTTGTATTTTGCACATGCCCTTATTAATTTGGTTACGTTACGTCGTAAAACACCGCCGCTATTGATGAGTTTGTGTTATGGCTAAAGGTCTGCGTTGTGGAGGAGAGGAGGAATGCGTGGGGAAAGTTTCCAACTAACCCCCCCCCCCCAACCATCTCCCCCACCCCTCATAGCTCCCTTCCAAAAGCCCACCTCTCTCCCCACTGTGCAGCCAGCACCTCTCCCTCCCTCACTTGCCTCCCACCTTCCTCGCTCCAGACTCCAGGGGGTTTCAAGGGGGAGTCTGGGTGGCTCACCCCGTCCGCTACCAGCGGACAGACCCCGCCAGACGCGGGCAAGACTCCGGTCGTCAGCCACCACCATCACCGCCTCTCGCTCCGTGAGTTACGGTTGTTGTACAATCATCGGAAGGTATATCGCAGAGGCGTAGAGGTACCATCACTTAAAGTGCTTTATAATGACGCGCTTGATCGTGGCTTTCAAGCATTTGTACGTGTATTTATCATCATTATGATTTTTATTAACCAATCAGGAGCGGCAGTGCTTTTTTTGGACAAGACACGCGCTGGAATGAACGCGTCCAAGTGTGATCGGTGTGATCTCCGTGTCCTGTGATGGTGACGGTGTTTTTAGTTGAGTGTGTGTGTGTTTTTTACAGCGACTCATCCTCGGAACTTTTGGTTCTCGAGTTCACATAGCGGAATGGACGAACTAACGAATTTCAATCCATCAGCAGTCGCATGATGGTGACGATGGTTATGACGATTATGATTATTTTACCCGCGTTCATACGTGAAAGGCTCACTGAGTCTCTTTCCAGAGGTTCCTGCCAGTTTTCCCCAACTGAGTAAATTTGCAGGTAGTATTTTCCGTCTGTAAAATTTTTGCGAATCTGGATCACGACGCCGAGAACGTGTCATGATCCAGGTTGACGTCACGGTATCTTTAACGTCGACCTTGTAAACACAGACGGCGGTTCATACACCCGCAGTTATAACCAGGGCGGCCGCTGGATTTGAACCCCACTCTGCAACAAGCGGTGAAACGCGCTGTCGCCAGGCAATGTCACTGCCGATGATAACCATCTTGCAAAACATTGACAATATAGACTTGAAGCTTTCGTGATTGCAGGAATCCATACTCTTTGGTTTTTTCGGTAAACTCATTATAGGTATAAAATATAACCTTTTCAAACAGCCTGCATCAGCAGCAGACCATGCTTTCCCACCTGATGATGGACGCTTGTGTTGCGCCCGAAACGTCGTGATTTATTTTAGTTTATACCTACGTGACTTTACAATATAGCAGCGTGATGATGATTTGAAAATCGTCGTACTCCAGCCATTCGTCAAGAGGCGTATCTCGCGAGTGATGGCATCTCGCTAATTCCGCCTGTGAAGTGATGTCCACTCTCCCGCTCGGGTTGCATCCTTTGGCAAAAAAAAATAGCTCGTTTTGTGTTTTCCTGATTTTGGTGGATTACTCATTCTCGTGTCAGCTTTTTCTTCTCGAACATTTCCACTTCACACCATCCATTGTTCAATAATGCAATAGTGCTATGGTGACCTCAACTCGCGAGTGACAGTAACAATAGTATCCTGATGAAACTGGGCTATTCAATAGCGTCGTAGGTACGTGGGAACGATTGTGAAGTGAGTGGGTACGAGTAACCGAAGGTTTGTGGTGTGTCCCTGAAGGCAATTGCATAATTCCACGATTGTATCTCGGACATTTTAAAGGTGGTTACAATCGTTCCGTTAGCGTCACATTGCCTTGAAACTCACAGCTAGTTACATTCAGTGGTCCCGCCACAAAGCAATGTAACAACACCCCTCTCCCCGTGTTAGAGAACGGCCTCGGGAAGTTGACATTACAGAACTACTGCTGAGGTCTCTTCAACTGCCTCCTATTCGCACTTGGGTGGCGCTTCACCATCGCACGTACCCTGCATGGCAAATTTAGATTGAAAATAAAACCTCACACGAGTGAGACGTCTGATCTGGCTGATCTGGGCCTCATGGACTGGCAGGTGATGGGGGTGGAGGGGGGTTGACATCTGGGGCAGAATGCGCGATCGGCAAAATCAGATCGCTCCGTGCGTTCCTAGTTCTGTTTCGCTCCGAACATTTGTTCTAAGTTCGTTTAACGTTGACTGTGGCGTGATCTCCATGCCTGTGTTTCTATGCCCCCTCCCCGCCCCCACCCACTAAACAAGATCGGCACTGCAGGTTTGGGCCCCCTAACCCACAATTCTAACCCGAACCACCCCCTCTCCAAAACCCGTCGGCAGTCCGCGTGGCGGTCACGCGGGGTTTCGGGTTGTGAGACAGGGGGCAAGGGGGCTTGTGTGTGTGTGTGGGGGGGGGAGTTGTGGGGAGCAGGACAGGGGGGTTAGGAAGGGGAGGGTGTTGTGGGGTGTCACGTTTCATATCTCGGAGCGAACGCGACGGTGAGCCGCGCGTGATGCAATGCGGTGTTGGCTTTAGCGTCTGTTCATTGTCGACTGGCTCGAGTTGATCCGGCGCGGTGATGAATGGTCGCAGTCAGTGGGGCGGGCGGCGTGGGAGGCACGAGGGCAGGCAGAGGGTCCTCTCAGTGGCGTGTGTGCTCGCGTTGATTGCAGCACGGCGACCGTGACACGCGCTGCAAGTTTACAGCGTCGCGAGAAGTAGACGGCGCGTCTTGGGGAGTTACTGTGGATTTTCACACACGACAAAGACAAAGATCCCCCGTATAGCCTGTGGCAGGCTGTTGGCGCAAGTGCTGTTGGCGAGCGCTTTCGAAGGCCGGCACGGTACGCGAGGGAGCTGGGTGGGTGTGTTTGCACAACGCCCGGCCGCCTTTGTCTCCCTAGTGGCGATGTTTACACGTCGCGCCAGGTACTCGTTTGAGGCTGAGTCGACCTAGGAGCGACCCAGGACCTCAGATAATTATCACTGGTGCTGGTGGCCGTGAGTGGGAATCTCACTCGGGCCGCCGGGTTCGTAGCGCAGCGTGTGAACACACACACACACACATGTAACATCCGTAACATACGAAGACAAAAGACCCCCACCGGTGTGCATCCTGCCTTGATGTCAGCGAGCACGTGTTAACCCGGCCTTGCACACTAGGGGGTAGCGTGTGTGTGTGTTGCCAGTCAGAAGACACGCAGGACACGGCCGCCTTTGTCTCCCCCCGGGGGCTAATGTTCTCACTCAGCGATCGGTTCATACTTCAACTTCGGGTTTAAACGTCGATCTCTCGCCGCTGATGTTAAACAGTTGGCCGGAAATCGAACTTGGGTGGCCCGGACTCGTAGCACGGTGCGCTAACCGCTGCGCCACCGCTCACTCGCGACGGGGAGACTGGGTGATGGGGGCGGACGCGGGGCGCTACCAAGCCTCGCGAATTGCACCCTGGCGCACGGAGGTTGTAATGATGAGCGGGCTTCACGTTGTGTCATTATGGATGGAGCTGCTGATGACGATGGTGCTGCTGCTGATGATCTTCGTCTGCTGTTGATGAATGATGCCGCTGATAATAATGACGATGCTGATGATCTTGCTGCTGCTGCTGATGATGATGATGATCCTGCTGCAAATTCTGCTGACACGGCTGCTTCTTACATTGATACTAAACGTGATGATTTGCTCCTAACGATGGTGCAGCTGCTGCTGTTGCTGATGATGATCTCGCTGCTGACGCTGACAATGAGATGATAATCCTGATGCTGATTATGATGATGACGACGACGACGATGCTGCTGATGATGCAGTGCGGGATTGCGTGAGTCCTGCCCGTCAGTCACGTGAGGCGAGAGCCACGTGGTATAAGATGGGGAGGCGGGCAAGGTGATCATTACCTGGAAGGGCTCGCAAGGGGGGTAAACGATTTACCTGCCCCGTGCGAGCGTGGGTCGTGAGTGAACACACCGACCCAGCGACCAAAAATAACCAGAGCAGCCATTGCCAAGGGATATAAATACGGCGCGGTGATCACGAGGTCACGGCGGGGAATAGGTGAAATACTCACGCGCGGACAAACACAGGCAAAGATCCCCCGTATAGCCTCAACATACTTTTTTTGTGGCAAGTGCCGTTGGCGAACACCTATGAAGGCTGGATCGTCACACGAGGTGGTTGGTAGTCAATCACCACGCCCGACCGCCTTTGTCTCCATAGTGGCGATGCTTACACATAGCACCAGGTACTCATTTGAGGCTGAGTCGACCTAGGGGAGGCCCAGGACCGGTTCAGATAATCGTCACTGGTGTTGGCCGTGAGCGGGAATCGAACCCGGGTCGCCAGGTTCGTAACCGCCATACTACCGCTCCCCACACACACACACAGGCACACGTACACGTGTGTAATGGGTTCTACTGAGTCTCAGACGTAGACTTGGAGGCTACACATGTATTCAACTCCAACACACGGGATAACTTTCCCCTGGACAGAATAACAACCTATGGTGGTGACCACCAGGCTAACTACACTAGTCACAACGTAACTGGTGTACTAATAGGGTTTTTATGAGACTAGGCTCTAAAGAAAGCTGTCTCTGGTGTGGACCAATCAGTTTCAAAGACAATGCATACATTATCAGAGTATTGTTTTTTGTTTGCATTTGACTGCAAGTATTGTGGTTAATGTAAGCATGATTCCTTGCAAAAGGTGTCAGTTTTTGTTTCCATAAAAAAGGGGAAAAACCCTATTAATATATTTTGCTACTGGCAAAGGAGGTCCCATGATGTAACTGGTGTAGTTAACCGGGTGGTGACCACCAGGCTAACTACACTAGTCACAACGTTACTGCTACAGACCGGGACCAATGGCTTGGGTCCGGGTCCACGTGTTGGAAACTCGTTGAACGGAGATCGTAGACGAAGATTTCTTCCAGGATGAACAACAACGCTGGTCCCTCTGGGGACCCGGCTTCTATTCTCTGCGGCGTGGCCGACTCCGCCCTTGGCCACGCCCACCTTCCAGAATCCTTGGGAAGGAGCTGGGTCCCAACCACGTGACCACCCCTAGCCCCCACTTGGGGCCCCTTTGTAGACTTAACCGGTCACGTGTCGTCCCGGGTCAACCAGAGTACCATGGCCTTGAGTAACCTCATTCCTTCGGCCGGCACTCACACACCCTGTCCTGTAGGGGCTGGCACTGCACGCCAAGCGTGGTGCCATCCAGCGCTGTCAATCAGCGCTCACCGGGCCCCTCTAGGGCCGGTACTACACCCATACCACTGCACGTTGACATCCAGCGAAGTCACTCCACTTACATCAACACGTGCAATCTGGAACACAAAACACTCACGCACAACGCTTTCCCGACCGTCACTCGGCCGCAGCAGTAGGTCTTTGAAGTGGACCAATCATTTTTTTTTATCAATATTTCAACTCTCTCTCCCCGACTCACAAACAACAGCTGCTGCTGCTGCAGGAGGACTCAGCCGCTCTCTTCCCACTCAACCCGCACCTCCGGGGACAAAGTCGTTCCCAGGGATGGCATCGACTCTTCCACCCAAGGATAGGTAAGGGACCTGACATAGTTCGATTGCAAGTATACATGGGGCATTTGAGGATAACGATCAATATAAATTAACAATTTGCAGTCCTTTGTCAATCCAATGCTGGATGAGGGCCTCCCCACGCTGTGTCGGGTTACGCGGGTTATGTGACCATACTTCACTGCACTGGTCAATGAGGGGTTGGTGAAATACACGCACATTGGCAGCGATGATCCATCCACTGCTGGACGAATACCTTCCCACGCCGTTTCGGGCATGGAGGCTGTTTGACCATACTTCACCACGATGATCAGTGCGGGTTGGTGAACGGATGGGGGTTGGGGATGGTGGGGGGGGGGTAATATTTGTTCAGATATAATTCGCCACTGATGTTAGCCGTGACCGGGAATCGCGCTCAGGTGACCGGGTTTGTTTCGTGCAGTGCCCCAGCCACGGCGCTGCCGCTCCACTCTTTGTGACAACAAATAAATAAATCAACAACGCCATCCAGATGTGCGAGTGTGCGCTCACGGTACACACACACAGGCCTTTGTGGTGAACACGTTGTATCCCGATGATGTCATCTATTTATACAGGAAATCCTCACCGAGTCTCAAGGCCGCTTTTCAAGAGGACCCTGCCTTTGAGATATGTGTGCCAATGCATGGTAAAATAACGCTGCTGCTGGTGGTGATGCTGATGACGGTGTTGATAACGGTGATAATGGCGTTGGTGGTGGTACTGCTGTTGATGGTGGTGCTGTTGATGATGACGACGGTGGTGATGTTGATGATGATGACGGTGGTGGTGTTGATGATGGTGGTGTTGACATTGCAGATACTGGGCTGTATGGCTCGCCTTCTTCGTCCTTGGTGTAGGAACTCTGCTGCCATGGAACTTCTTCATCACCGCCAACAAGGTGAGCATTACTCCCAACCCTTCCATCCTCACCACCATCAAACAAACAAAGGCAGAGGCCGCCCTCCCTGTAGCCTTTTCGCGCACTGGTGGAGGGAGTGTCGTTCGTGGGCACCTTTGAAGGCCAGCACCACACCCGGCCGCTATGTATGTGAAACTTCTTTCGCACCATACGTAGCCAACCATGCTAACCGGAGGCACTATCGTCTCACCCTGAACTGATGTAAGGGGCCGTCCATAAATGACGTCACGCACCTAGGGGGGGGGGTCAGACATTTGTGACGATGTCTGACGTAAATATAAACAACACGTTCTACTTAATTATATTGACTTTTAACTAAATGTGTTCTCCTACAACATCAGATTGCAGCGCCACATTAAATACGCACTACAATGACAATAGTTTAAAGCGATTTGAAGCATGTTTTATTTTTTTTGGGGGGGGGGGGGCAGAGCTTTGTGACGTCATATTTGTGGGGGGGTCTGACTTTTTGTGACGTCGTGTGAAGATGGGAGGGGGTGTAAAAAATCGTCCAAAATCGCGTGACGTCATTTATGGACGGCCCCTAAACACAAAGCGCCAGATACTCGTTTGAGGTTGAGTCGATCTAGCGCAGGAACAGGACTAGTTGAGATATCACTCGATACTGGCCCTAGCCAGGGCCAGGAATTGAACTCCGGTGTCTGGGTTTGTAGCACCGAGTAAAATATTGGACATAGTGCCGAACAACAACAACATGCAGTGCAACCAGTAAAGACATCGGAGAGCTTTTTTGATGATGCTGATGATGATGCTGATGATGTTGCTGCTGCTGATGATGCTGATGATGCTGATGATGATGATGCTGCTGATAATGATGCTGCTGCTGATAATGCTGCTGCTGATGATGCTGCTGCTGATGATGATTCTGCTGATAATGCTGCTGCTGATGATGATTCTGCTGATAATGCTGCTGCTGATGATGCTGCTGATGATGCTGATGATGCTGCTGATGCTGATGATGATGATGCTGCTGCTGATGATTCTGCTGCTGCTGATGCCGTCGACGATGATGCATGTGGCTGCCCCTTCCCGTTGGCAGTATTTCGAGGAGCGGTTGGCCGGCGAGGTGGAGGCGCGGGGGGGCAACTCCAGCGAGGGCCCCAGGCCGCTGGCGCCGCTGCAGAGGAGTTTCAGCAACGCGATGACGCTGTGCGCCATGGTGCCCATGCTCGTGTTCACCTGCCTCACGTCCTTCCTGCACGCCAGGTACAGAGTCAGCCTGGTCAGTCGCTTCGCGGGTCGGTGCGCGAGTCGGTCGGTCAGTTGGTCGGTTGATCGGTCGATCGGTCGATCATTTTATCGGTCGGTCGGTTGATCGGTTGATCAGTCGATCGGTTGATCGGTCGATCGGTTGGTCGGTTGATTGGTCGATCGGTCGATCATTTTATCGGTCGGTCGGTTGATCGGTTGATCGGTCGATCGGTTAATCGGTCGGTCGATCGGTTGATCGGTCGGTTGATCGGTCGGTCGGTTGATCGGTCGGTCAGCTTTGTCCGTCTACCAGTCAGTCGGTCAGTTGCGGTCTGTCAGACGGTTGTTGGGTTGGTCGGTCGGGTCAGTTGGTCTGTGACCTGGCCAGTTAGCTGGTCGGTTGTCTGGCCAGGTCAGCTGGTCAGTCAGTTGGCTCGTCAACCGTTCAGTCGGTCAGCTGTTTGGTCAGCCAGTTTGTCAACTGGTTTAGTTGGTTGGTGGGCCAGACATTTATTTGGCTTCTCAGTCAAGTTGGTCGGTCAGTCGGTCGGCTTTTCAGTATAGTTTTGAGAAATCCCATTGACATGGCGATTTCATAAGTAGTTCTGCAGTTTCTACGTGACTTTACCGAAAGATCCAAGAATATGAATCTCTGCAGTCACGAAAGCTTTGAATCGAAATTTTGTTCTGCAATGGTTACTTCTGTGGGCTATTATCTAAAGAGAATGGGCGAGGCGGTTGCACAACGCTGCGAGACTTCCATGTGGATTCTTCGTCACCCATGACGTGACGCTGAGAGCGCAGTCATTCCCTAACCTCGGGCAAAATGACCAAAAAAAATAGAACTCCAAATGAGACCACAAGCTTCAGGCAAGGGAGATCTGAGACGGAAAAAGAGGAAGGGATAGAGGATCAAAGGAACACGGAGTGACAACCAGAAACAGAATGTAAATCTGTGCAGACACAATGAGTTAAAATGAAAGAAAGATCAAATGAACGTTTAAGTTATATCCTATAAAGAGCTTTGCCTATGACGTGTGACCCGTGGTATGTGAACTGAACGATGAATTAAGCTAAGGGTGTGGGGGAGGTTAGATGAAAGGTGGGAGGGGGGGGGGAGACGGAATTTGATTCAGGAATGGGATCAAGACGTGTGGGTTAGGCTGGCACAGCGTTGAGCCCTCTGACACGACGATAATTATATTTTCTTGGCAGGGGATTGTAATTATTAGGTTAATTTCATGGAATGACCAACTTGGCTTTGAACAGAAAAACGAACAGGAATTTATTTGAGCATTTGTTTTCAGTGTGCAGGGGAGGTGAGCGATCGAGAGGGTGGATGGGTCGGTATGTGTGCGAGTGAGCGAGCGAGTATGTGACCACATACGTGAACGAGTCGGTGGGTGAGTGAGTCAGTATGTAGGTGATCAGATGAGTAGGTGAGTGAGTGAGTGGATGAGACAGTAGGTGGGTGAGTGAGTTGGTACTTGAGTGAATGGGTAAAATTGGTGGGTGGGTGAATGAGTCGGTGGGTGAGTGAGTTAGTACGTGAGTGAGTGGATAAACTTGGTGGGTAAGTGAGTGCTGTGTGTGTGTGTTGCTGGGTGTGATGGTCCCGGGTGCTACGCGTGTATGTGTGTACTCAAATGAGTACCTGGTGCGATCTGTGAACATCGCCACTGGGGAGACAAAGGCGGCCAGGTGTGGTTCCGGCACCCCCACCCCATCGTGTGGCGTGCCAGCCTCAGCGTGTTGTCTTTCCCCTGCACCTCCGATGAGCGCGGTTGGCTGCGTACTGTGCGAGAGAAAGTTCAACGTGCACGTGCATAGGTGCTCGCTAACAGCACTCGCCCCAGCAGTCTGTTAGGGCTATACGGGGGAGCTTTGTCTTTGTCGCGCAGGGTGCCACAGAGAGTGCGTGTCCTCTCCGGCCTCGTCGCCATCCTCCTCCTCTTCGTGGTCACGGCAGCCCTGGTGCGCGTCGCCTCGCTCGACTCCCGCCCGTCGCTCTTCTTCTCCATCACCATGGCCTGCATCGTCCTCATCAACTGTGAGCGCGCGTCACGCAAAGATAAAGACAAAGATCCCCCCACCACCCCCGTATAGCCTCAACAGAGTGTCGGGCGCAAGTGCTGTTAGCGGGCACTTACGAAGGCCAACACGCGCACACGAGGGGGTGGGTGGACAACACCACACCACGCGCGTCACACACACACAAGTTCAGAAGTTTATTTTCCCCGAGTGAAGCACATTGGGCGAGCTAAGAAGCTTTTTTTTAAGGGCGACTCGGCCGGCAGACGACGTCAAAGCAACAAAAGACAAAGATTCTCCCCCCCGTGTAGCCTACACAGGCTGTTAGGGAAAGTGCAGTTAACGAGCACATGCGTAGGCCATACACGGCGTACAGGAGGGGGGGGGGGTTGTAGGCACCACCACGCCTGGCCGCCTTTGTCTCCCCAACACTGATGTTGACACACGGCACCAGGTACTCATGTGTACGGCTGAGACGACCTACGATGGGCCCCGGGAATAGGTTCACATATTCACTGCTCGCGGATTTCCGTCGCTGGGGCGATTTTACGCATGGCCTGCCGACAGCGCACGTTCATGGCCGGTGGGAAACACCCGTGGCTTGTGCAAAACCTGCCACCGATATGCCTCCCCACCCATTTGCTGAAGAGAATCGGCTGCGATGTCGATCACGGCCGTCGCCTCGGTGATCCGTCCACGGATTCAATCCCCACGCGGTATGTTCTGGGCTGCTGTTGACCTCTGAGTAGGTGGCTGTTGACCCGTTGCCACAGCCGGAGCGAGGGGTATACTGGATGCGGTGTGCCGGGTGCAGAAATATTTTTCTGGGCCCGGCTGAAATTAATAAATTCATCGATTGATCTGTCCCGTTGTTGGTTGATGATGGGGACAGAGATAAGAAAAAAAATAAGATACTGAACTTTTGCCAAGATGAGAGCCAGGCCATTGTACGTGTGGCCCTATAATCCAGGCCCTGTCATTGTGCGTCAACATCGTTGTAAGCGGAGCCAGACCGGGCGTTACAGCTCAATCGTGGGTACTGAGAGGCCCCGGGAATGGACGGCATCTCCCGTAACATAACCCACGACCGCGGCACAATCGCTCTCCGGTTACGGACGTGCACGCCGCACCTGCAAGCGCGTGGGTTCCGGTCCCCAGCAGAAGCGAAGCCACACAGAGTGGAGTGGAGCCTAGATGGGATCCGGGTGTCCGAAGTGCTCATTAGGATAATGCTGCTGCAGTTAATGAGGATGCTACTACAGGTGTGGTTCAACCCTGCCTCGTGCTCTCCTTTCCTTTGCCCACACTTCTCTCCTTGAATGTATTTTCCTTCTCCTCCCCACTCCCTTCTCATCTCCTCTTTCTTGTGATCGTCCCTCCTCTCTCCCTCTCCCCTCCTCTCTCCTACCCCCTCTCCCCTCCTCTCTCCTACCCCCCTCTCCCTTCCTCTCCTCTTCTCTTTTCTCCCCTTCCCTCCTCTACCCTCCCCTTCGCTCCTTCTCCCTCCCCTCTTTTTTTTTTACAACCAGAGGAAACAAGAAAATGCTCGGTGCAGTCGGCACTTTGCTTCGTTCATCATTTCGGTTTTTTTTTCAATGCTTTGCTTTATGTTCCCCCCCCCCCCCTTTTTAAATGAAAGATTTCACGCTCTGCTCTCCTCCTTCTTACCCCTTCCCTCTCTCTCTTTTTTTACAATCAGAGGAAACAAGAAGATGGTCGGTGTAGTCGGCACTTTGTTTCGTTCATCATTTAGTTTTTTTTTATGCTTTGCTTTATGTGCCCCCCCCCCCCCTTTTTTTAAATGAAAGATTTAACAAAATATTTCTCGCTCTGCTCTCCTTACCCCTTCCCTCTCGCTCTACCCCCCCCCCCCCCCCCCCACTCTCTCTCTACCCCCTCTCTCCCTACTCTATGTCTATGTTCCCCCTGTTTTCTATGTAATATTTGTATTTAAAAAATTCTCCCATCTCCGCCTCTCCTCCAACCCTCCTCTCCCCTCCCCTGCTGCCCCCCCACCCATCCACCCATCCACCCACTGTCGCACTTTGCACAGCGTTTGGCGCGGTGCTGCAGGCCAGCCTGTTTGGCCTCGTGGGGCTGCTGCCCGTGCCCTACACCACGGCGCTCATGAGCGGCCAGGGCATCGCCGGGGTCTTCGCCGCACTCTCCATGATCTCCGCCATGATTTGTGAGTTGCAGTCACGACCTCTCGCTCGCCGGCAGTCACAGCCAGTTACTGGCGATGTTCGGCAGCAGAAAGTGTCGACGGTTGTTGTCCTCAACTGCATTGTGCAAATAAAACCCGCGATAATGTCCCAGAAACATGGACAGCAAAATTGGTGTACGCTACGTAAAAAAAATACGTAAAAAATTAAGGCCTCCATCTCGGCTGCATCGGTCATGGAGGTTGTTTGACCGTACTTCTCCACGCGAGTCATCACAGGTTGGTGAAGGAGATGGAGGCCCCGCGACTTGCCCAGGAATCACTCGCCACAGATTTTAGCCGTGCATGGGAATCAAACTCATGTGGACCGGGTTCATAGTGCAGTGCGCTAACCACTGTCCCACAGCTCTCTACCCCGTCGGTAGTATACGTTGGATGTAATCGCAATCCATCAAATAGTGATGAATGTTTAGTACGGAACAGCCTGTTTATTTAGTATATTATTATTTTACCAGAGAGAGAGAAAGCCACGGTGAATACGGGTAGCCGTCTGTGTACATCCTGTCTGCGAGTTACTATATATAGAACTGGGTCCCAGGGCTCCCTTCCTCCAGAGAAACAATGTCCCAATAATAATAATTCACAGCCCATTGTCAATCCACTGCTGTTGGGGAGGGTGGGGGTGACGACCTGGGTCTGGTTCGTCCGGATGTCACTCGCCACTGACGTCAGCCGTGGCCGGGAAATCAAAGCGAGTTGGGCACGCGGGTTGTGACGCAGCGTGCTCACCACTGTGACGTTCCCAGCCCCTCCCTCCCCGCCCCGCCCCCTTCCCAGTCAGACGCACAATTTGAACCTTACGGCGGGACCCCGGGGTCCCGAATAAACGGAAGTCAAAAATCGTAATTAACTCTTTTATTTTTGGCGACTCCGTCTCCCCGCGCACATGAACGCCGCGACCCACCAGAAATCGATCCTCTCGTCATTCACCAAGCACCGGTCATTGCCAAAATTGCCGTCGTCATAAACAAAACTTTGAAACTTTGATTAGCGAATCGTGTAGAGCTCGTCGAGAGGAATAGGCTGCCGTATCGTTCGCCTTCAACAGACGTAAAATGACGTCGCAACGCAGTTTGTGCGAGAGCCGGGGGCTTGTGGGAACCCCGGGGTCCCGCCATGAGGTGCATTTGTTGAATCGCTTGATCGCTTCACACTCATGGCAGTGCTCACGACGCACGCGCGTCCGTCGAATCGTGCACGTGCTCGGGCACTCGTTGCCTAGGGACGTGCACGCAAATCGCGCGCGAGTCTTTTGCGAAGCGTTACCGCTGAGGCTAACGCAGGCGTGGGGGGGGGGGCGGGCGTTATCCCCCCTTATTCAGGGTGAAATGTTTTTCACTATAAATCCTTTATATGCGTGGCGGCTAGAGTCCTCTCGTCCTCTGGCTTGAGATGGCTGCCACCTATGGGTCAGATGATTGCCTGGCAGCATTAAGCAATTGGTAATTAATAAAAAAAAATTCCTAAAAAGTGTCAAATTTTGCAAAAAAAATTTCACGAAAATTAATTGTCACGCACAACGAGTCTGTGTGGAAAATGTCAGCTCGATTGGATCACGGGAAGTGGGCTTAAAAAACGACCGAAAATTTTGCACGGTCGTAAGCGCGTAAGCAAGCAAGCAAGCGAACTTAATTTAAAAGATTCAAATAAAAAACGACCGAAAGATTTGCACGGTCGTAAGCGCGCAAGCAAGCAAGCGAACTTAATATAAAGGATTTAAAAAAAACCTTTGGTGGATCGCACGTGAACACACGCACACACCACACGCCACGGTTACTTCTCCGCTGCTAAAGGCCCCTCGCGGTCACACGGGTGACTGGGGGTTGGTACACTGCGCAGCACGAAGGGACTGAGGGTCCGTCCATAAATGACGTCACGCGATTTTGGACGATTTTGACCCCGCCCCCCCCCCCCTCGTCACACGGCGTCACAAAAAGTCAGACCCCCCTCAAATATGACGTCACAAAGCTCTGCCCCCCCCCCAAAACCATATTTCCATTTTGAAAATAAAACATGCTTCAAATCGCTTTAAACTATTGTCATTGTAGTGCGTATTTAATGTGGCGCTGCACTCTGATGTTGTAGGAGAAAACATGTATTGAAAAGGAGACGTTGGAAAGCGTAAATTTAGCATACAATTCACTTGAAAATATTCAACGTCTAGCTAAAACTGCAGATGTTCAGAATATTATATTGAAATTATCTTATAATTATAAAATATTAAACGTTTTTATAACTATAAAAAATATACTTGAAACTTTGTAGCAAAACGACGCACAATGGAGATAACAATTATAACAATCATATATTCATTCCACAGAATGAAAAGCCCCGGTAGAATCATTCATGGACGGCCCCTGAGTGCACTGCACTAGGATTACAAACCCGGCGGTGCCGCGCGTAGACCATGTCACACGACTCCCCTCTGGTGCCCAATTAGTGCGGCTCGGCATCGTGTGGCCGTGAGCCGGTGTGAAGTTAGATCGAGCTCGGGACGTATCCTCCATCGCGTGAGCTCAATGGAATGAATGAGACGGAGCGAACATTGCATAAAACACACACTAGACCCAACAAACACACACATATTTATCTCCTCTGAGCTGTTGGAATCCATGCGTGATAGAGCCATGACCCTCTCCCCCGATCGTGGCTACTCGCCAATTCGTGGGGGCACTTGGGGTGAATTATGGTTTGCCTCTCAAACGACATGAACTAATGAATGATTTATTGAGTTAACGATGAACAATTGAATTAATCGGATTGATCGTGTGTATGCGGTTAACGGAAGGGAAAGCGTTCACAAATACAGCTCTTGCATTAAAAAAGTTACTTATATCACTGAATGAAAAACGTATTGAATGAATGGTGAACTATTTAACGATTGAATGAACGATTGAAGGCTTACAGGTGAACGCGTGATTGAATGGGCGATTAAATGAGTGATGAACTACGTCGTGATTGAACGACTGTTGAGCGTTTTCGCGAATGAATAATTGAAAGAACCATGGTTAAAAGATCTGTGAAACCAATTATGAATACTTGACAAGCGGTCGGGCCTGGGCAAAGTGAGGAAGGTGAACAGCAGGGGAGGGGGGGACAGTTAGGGGGGGGTAGTTGGGGGGGGGGTAGTTTGGAGGGTATTTGGGGGAGGTATTTGGGAGGGGGTAGTTGGGGGGGCAGGGGGGGTCAGTGGGGGGGGGGGGTGGCTAGTTGGGGGGGTTAGTTGAGGGGGGCAGTTGGGGGGGTAATTAGGGGGGCAGTGGGGGTAGTTGAGGGGGGCAGGGGGGTCAGTGGGGGGGGGCTTTTCCGGGCAAATCTTGAGACTTTACGACCCCCACCCCCACAGACCATACACACTCAGCCCCCCCTAGCCCCCGCCCTGTGTGGGAGCAATTTAACCTTTCCAAGTGCTTCCTTGCTTCCGTGGCCAGGTTCAAGGAGCCGAGTTCAGGAATTATAATTGGCAACGGTTGATGTGTGTGGCGTCCAACTCAACACCGGGGAGACAAAGGCTGCCTGGAGTTCATGCTTCTTACATAACTGCCCTTTCGTGCATGTGTGTGTATGCTGTGTCGATGTGTTTAGCACGTCGGCTGTCTATCTCTCTGTCTCCGTGCCTGTCTCCCTGTCTGCCTATCTTTCTTTCTGCTTACCTGCCTGCATGCCTCTGTCCGCCTGTCTCCCTGCCTGATTGGTTGTGTATCTCCTTGCCTGCGTGTCCGTCTGTCCGTGTGGCAGGGGCACAGGAGGAGCGAGACAGCGTGTTTGGATACTTTGTGACCGCGTGTGTGGTCACGCTGGTGGCCATCGTGGCTTACCTGTCCCTGTCTCACCTGGTGAGCTCACGGTCCCGAGCTGGTGAGGTCTCGGAGCATCACATGACATAGGACACACGACAGAGAACATAGGACGTATGTTACAGAATATAGAACACATGACGCAGGTCTCTGGGCACTTGTTACACATGACATATTACATTTGGCATGTTACGCATGACACATGACATATGACATCATGCGTGGCACGTGACATATTATACATGATGACCGAGGACGCGTCAACATGACACACGACGCGTGACGTATTTCTTACGACGCACATTTCTCGCATCTCCGATTAGCGCGGTCGGCTACGTACGTCGCAAAAAAAGACGTTCAACATACGTGCATGCGTACGACACACCGCTTTGACTTATTTCTCTGGGAAAGCCCACGCCGATGCGGGGCGCGATCTCTCAACCTTCGCCGCGCGGTCTAATTTTAGGGGGCCGTCTGCCAGGAAGAGAAAACAACAAACATTCTAAAATGTCTCTCATAAAAAAATTAAAATTTAAAATATAAAGCTCGCGCGCGCACATTTAGCCTCGACGCCGGCACACAATGGCATCGACGACTCCGCAGAGACCGCGTGGGCGGATGTGAAGCCGCCCCCCACTTCTCCCCGAAGTCCAGACTATCGTCACTGGCGCTTTTTGAGCCCCCCACCACCACCCCCGCCACGGCCAGGATGTTATTGCGGTGCATTGTTTTGGCAGCGGTAGTAATAGTAATAATAAAGACGCCGTTGATTTGTCCGGTGGCTAGATGACCGGAGGAGAGTCACCGGCGCGTGTGGTGACATGTGCTCGATCGCATCAGGTCCCAGAAGCGAACAGGGGTCGCGCTTTTTTCCGCCCCCCTCTACGTTTGGGATGAGCGTCACGCGCTTTCGAGTATTTGACTGCGATAAGCCACTTCGTTGAGCTGTCACTTGTGGCCAGGTCGCTTCTGCAAAAAAAGAGATGTATAGCTCAGTGGGCCTTACTTGCTAAAATAAACATTAAAAAAAAAAGTTTGGTTTTAGTGCCTGGATGGGAGGCTGCCTCGTGTTGCTTTTGTTGGATTCGGGCTGCCGGGTGGACAGGCCTTCATCCAGCAGTGGAATGACAAATACATAAACATGATGGAGAATAAGCAGAGATCATTTTGTATTCGTGTGAGTGGAGTCATTTAATCGCTTTACCGGAAAACTGACTCACTCTTCCCTGGCACTCGTGAGCGCCCAGGCATTTGCCAGGTATTACCTGACCCCCTGCCGAGACCTTGATGGAAATCCCGGACTCATCTCACCAGGTGAGTGCCCTTCACTTAATTCCAGATTTGAAGTTTTCGTGACTGCAAGTATTCATACTGTTTGTTTTTTTCGGTAAAGTCAAAATTACAGTAATTTTGCTGTGACGGTTCCACCTAAAGACGGAAGCTTGTGTTGCCTCTGAAACGTCGTGATTTAATTTATTTGAATTTTTTACCTACGGGACTTTATCTAAAAAACCAAAGAGTATGGGTGCCCTTCACGCCTATTCCATGCACCATAGCAGGGATCGGCGTCACCTTCTGTGTGCAAAACTCGAGTAGCACGGATTTTTTTTATTAGCCAACAGAGGCGAATTGTGGCCGATCCGCTAGAGAGGTGATCACACACAGGACTCGTTTGGCTGTAGAATTATGTAAATAATCAACGTTCATCGATAAATCCATGCATCGTTGCAGCCCTTAAATATGTATTGTGCAATATTCGGATGGAATGTGAGCAGGTAAAGCATTACCTTTTTTGGGTACCATTAAATTACTTATAATTCATTGACCAAAATACTATGCATTGATCAAAATGGCTCGTCATCAGCGATGTCGGTTCAGTGTTGTTTCATTTTGGCAATGAAATAAACTCATTTCCCTGCCCATGTGTTAATTTCGTAATTTAACGAAAGGTTAATAATGATGATGATGGTGATGATGCCACGTGCCCCATGGTTTGAGTTTTATGTTGTAAACAACATGAACCATTTTTGCTGGGCACGATTAAACGTCGCTTGGTGTCTGGAGGCAATTACCAACAGGTTAAGATCATTATCTCAATTATCTTTAATCTGTGCCACCTGCTGGTACTGAGTGTCTCAGTGTGGATCCACTCCCTCCTTATATGGAGCCCACCCCGCTCTGTATGCGGCAATTACGTGAGTCACATATTTGGTTTCCATGGGACAGCCAACGCGAGGCAATTTGATTTGTTGGCTTGAGTTGGCCTAATTTCTCCCGGACCCAAAAAATAAATGCATTTCCCTGCACAGCTACTTGAGTGACCACGTGCCTTGGGCGGTTGTTTGCCGAAAAACACTTCCAAGTAAGACTTATTCAGAAACTACCTGCGAGCACAAGGCCAAAGGCTGCACATCTCGGGAAATTAATTCCCGGTTATTTAATGTGACATTGAATGCACCCGTTGCCTCCCGATTCACAGATAAACACTGGTTCTTTAAGAGTCTAAAGCCACGTGTGTAAGAATTTATTTCCCCCCCGATTCGTATATTCTGATTGTCATGAGTTCACGTCACATCTACAGCCACTAGAAGCCGCTATAGTCGCCAAAATGTAAAAATAATCATCGTGACGATTCAGAAACTCATCAAATCATGGTGAGTGGGGGGGGGGGTGTGATTCATTCGACCCCGAGTAAGTAACCGTATATACATAGTACAGCCACTGTCAGCTCATCACAACATAGTACTAATGTATCGACCACATGATGATGACATGACCCCAATTCTGTTATTTGGAGGTCGTGTGTTGACCGTACAAGAGCTGTGGAATCTGGCGTCAGGAGAGGCACAGAGAGAGCGTTGGCGAAGCGTGTCGGCATCAACGGCTTTGGCCACGATCGTGACGTCTCGACCTCTTGACCTCTTGAAGCACATCGCAGCACGACAGACACCATTGGTACTGCGCAAGGCGCATGGAGGATGCTGTGCGATGCTCTGGCCGTGCGGGATCACAGCGATGGGGGGTGGGGGGGGTCACGTGCTGCTCCGCAGATGAGAGGGACCGGGACGGCCTCTCCGGCGTCGGCGTCATGATGGTGGAGGAGCCTTCGCCCGCGAGCCGCTCCGCTCTCAAGATGTCCGTCATGCAGGTCTTCTTCAAGGTGAGCGCGCGGATCCGCGACAAGCGGTCCAGGCGCGCTATGACGGCTCTTCGACTGGCATTGGTCATTGCGCTCACGACACGAATCGTCGAAATGCATTGCTCGCGATGTATGTATGTATGTTGAACTTCGTTCGCACCGTACGTAGCCAACCGTGCTAATCGGAGTGGCGGGGGAAGGACAACAAACTAAACACACGCAAGAACAATTCTAAAGAAGTGGATAATCACGCGCAATTGTGTAGCAGCCATATACTCTGGGTGCATGTTTCTAAATGTGGAGGGAAATAACCGAAGGACCCGGAGAAAAATCCACGCGACCACGGGGAGAAGGTGCAAACTCCAAATATACAGCAGGAATCAGGGTAGGATCGAAGCCACGAGCTCCTGTATTATATACTGTTACATTTAGACTAACAAAGCAGACAAAACCATTGTGCGAAGCTGAAGTCACATTTTCTTTGTACGTGATTGGATCTAATCCGTCACACTCGTTCGCTGCATCCCCATTAGCACGGGTGGCTACGTACGGTGCGAAAGAAGTCCAACATACATACATCCCAAAGCGTATTTCGTCAACAAACCGTAAAGGCTACATGCCTACTCACCCTGCTGCAATGTTGGATATGCTTTGTGGAAGGACGCATACATTTCTTTGTACGTGATATGATGGAATCCGTCCCACCCATCTTATCGATTTTACCCATCGTATCGATTTCCCAAAAAACTTAGAACAAAGTGAACAACACTGATTGACCAAGGCCTATTATAACATTTTGACAATCATAATCTGTATTTAGACTGGAGGAATCCGATGACCTATACAGCTCTATTGCACAGATCCAGTAGACATCATGTCCAGTTCACATTGGACACTCGGCAATAGTTGGTGGTGGAGTTGTTGTCATTGATGTTGTTGTCGTTGATACCGTGTGGGTGTGTCTGTGTGTGGTAAATCTGGCCAACACCAGTGACGATTATCTGAACCGGTCCTGGGCCTCCCCTGGGTCGACTCGGCCTCAAACGAGTACCTGGTGCGGTGTTTAAATATCGCCACTGGGGAGACAAAGGCGGTCGGGCGTGGTGCTGGCCACCCACCCCCTTGTGTACCATTCCAGCCTTTATAGGTGCTCGCTAACAGCACTTGCCCCTACATCATGTTAAGGCTATACGGGGGGGGGGTCTTTGTCTTTGTCTGTGTGTGGTAGATCTGGCCCATGGCGATCTGCGTGTGTCTCGTGTACACGGTGACACTCGCGGTCTTTCCAGCCGTGACGGCGGGAGTCCAATCCTCCAGCCAGGATCCCACGTGGCGTGAGACAAAATGAGCAACGCACTCACACGGATCGCTCTCTCGCTCTCTGTCTCTCTCTCTCGTTCTCTCGAAGCTCTTGCTGCCCAAGAGGACAGAGAGGATTGCCGACCCACGATGGATGTTCCAAACAAATGCCATCGCAGAAATTCGTACGGTTATCGTAATCTGTGACGCGGTAATGATTATCGCCACCCCAACATCATCATCATCTTCTTTTGGTCTTTCGGTAAAGTCACGTAGAGAGGTTTTTCTTTGAACCTATCTACGTCGCTTTACCGAAAGACCCAACGAATATGACTATGAATTCCTGCAGTCACGAAAGCTTTAAGTCAAGAATCATCATCATCGTCATTCAATCGCACCACGGTCGGTGAGAATTTCACCCGATCAAAACCATACGTTTGTTCTGTGACCCTTAATACTGACGAAGCCGAACCCTGACCTTAAATTTAACATTTACGGTAACGCTGGCCCTAACCCAAATGACAACACTGATACTAATACTAAATCTGACCCTAACCCGACTTTTGACCTCACCGTCCCCCCACCCTACATGTTCCTTGGCCGTGCCCAGGCCGGTTCTTCGTGCCCGTGTGGTGCTTCTTGTTCTTCAACATCCTCGACTGGGCCGGGCGAAGCGCCACGGCTGTCTTCATGATTGTGAGTCGCGCAAACCGACCGCGCCATCCCAGCGGTGGGTAGACCGCGGCTGATGGTGACCTGCGTTATGATAACAAGTGGTGGTGATGATCATGATTATAGAAATAATGATGATGATGATGACCGTGATCATGACAACGATGATTATCACGACAAGAATAATGATGGGAATGATTATGTTCAGGACAGCGATGATGGTAATGATGATGCCAAAGATGACGACAATGAATGCGATGATGATGATGATGAAGACGATGACTGTGATCGTGATGACGGCAACGACATTGGTTGTGACCATGAAGACCTTGACAACGATGAAGGTAACGGGGCTGATGGCAATGCTAACAAAGACAAAGATCCCCCCCCCCCCCCGCCCAGAATAGCGTTGAAACACTGTAGGGCCAAGTGCCGTCAGCGAGTAGCACCTACGAAGGCCGGCACGGCACACGAGGGGTGGGTGGCCAACGCCACGTCCGGCCGCCTTTGTCTCCCTCGTGGCGATGTTTACACATCGCACCAGGTACTCATTCGAGGCTGAGTCGACCTAGGGGAGAGCCATGACGGGTTCAGATAATTATAATCGTCACTCGAGTTGTTGGCCGTGAGCGGGAATCGAACTCAGACCGCCGGGTTTGTAGCGCGGCGCGAAACGTCGCACTTCTGCTCCGCAATGACAACGATCACGACGACAGCGACGACGATGGCTATGATGACGAGGACGATGATGACGAGGACGATGGTGCCGCACGTGCAGTCGAGCAGCTGGCTGCCACCCGTGCTCGTGTGCGCTCGCTCGCTCTTCATCCCGCTCTTCATGCTGTGCAACGCGAGCCCCGACAGCCGCTCCCTCCCGGTGCTCTTCCACCACGACGCCGCCTACATCGTCTTCATGACCCTCTTCGCCTTCAGCAACGGATACCTGGCCAGCCTTTTCGTGTGCTTCGGAACAATGTGAGCGAGCGGTCGCTGCGATTGCGCAGGGAAAGGTGACCTTGATCGTCGTCATCATCGCCACAATCGTCAAGATTTTTACATTCATTTTCATTATGAGGGCAATCGTCGTCGTCGTCACAATCGTCATCATAATAGTTGTTACAATCGTCATCGTCATAATCATCACAATCATTTTCATAATTTAATTTGAAGCTTTCGTGACTGCAGGAATTACTCTTTGGTTCTTTCGGTAAAGGCACGTAGACAGAAAATAAATTAAATAGAATACGACGTTTCGATTGCAACACAAGCAGTCGTCATCAGGTAGAACAAAATTTGAGAAAGAGACAAAACATTGCCTGCCGAGCCACACAACCAGATGACGCAACACAGTGAATTCAACACAAACGCCTTGTTCTGTACAGCGTGGTCCAGATATATTGTGACCCCCCCCCCCTCCCCAATTGATTGACCCCAAACATATCGTTTCCTTTGCATATTATTTTCTGTTTCAAATAAACTTTACCTAACAAACAATACGTTTTAGAGAATGAAATAAGGGGGGGGGGGTGGTCACAAGACATCTGGCCCAACCCTGTACTACACTCCCACGTGTATACTCCACGCCTTCATCAACTCGCACTGAGCTCACGTACGGTAAAATAAAACCAACCCCGCAGGACCCTAGCGCACACAGTGGGATTGCTGAAAGGGTGCCGTGCATGCGCACACCACGCGTCTGTGCTGTGCGCGCCAGGCGGCTGAGCGGACCCGACTCGGAGACGGCGGGGACGGTGATGATGTTCTTCCTCTCGCTGGGGCTCGCCCTCGGTGCTGCCTCATCCTTCGTCTTCCGAGCATTGCTCTGAGCAGGCAGAGGAGGAAGAGGGGCAGAGGGAGGTTTGGGCGTGGGGCCGAGGGGTGGAGGAGGAGGAAGCGATGAAGACACCGCAGATGCAATGTGTACCCCAGGTCCATTGCGTTCGGTTAAATTAGTGAATATCATAATTATCACACCATAGCTTGTTCAGTATTATTTCAAGTATTGCTTCAAGAGTTGAAAGCACGTTTTAAGTACCGTGTCAGCATTACTTAGGTGTACCGAAAGGTACATGTTAGCCTTTTCGAGATGTCTGTTAGTCAAGCCGTGTCGTATTCCATTTCCTCTGAGGATCGACCAGCTTAGTCTGAATGCTTCGCTTACGTTTTGAAATCCTATTGTTTGTTTGACATTACGCCCTCAAGCAGATCGCTGCAGAGTGCCTTTTTTTTACAGAGTCATTTTAAGAGCTCACCACAGGCGGATGCTCCACATCTGAGCCGGCGGTGCTTCCGTGAAGAGAAGCAACTGTGACCCAGGAAGAAGGGCTTGAGTGCAACAGAGCAATCACCATGCGAGACACCGAGCAAGACAACGGTGAACATCTGTACCTGGACAGATGGACGGATGGACGATTAGATGACCATCAGGGCGGACACGAATCCGCTCGACCGAGTGTCCAGAGTCGTTGTGCCGCACCTTTGCGAGCCAACCAAAGGATGTCAAATATAAAATGTGCTCTTCTAACTTAGGCGATGTCGGTTTTTATATCATGTTGGGAAGAGAGAGGGAAACAGCTGTAATGTGGAGCCTGGCTGCTTAACCCATGATCATCGACATTATCAACAAGGAGAGAAACTTGCTCGCTCTGTCATCTCACCAGCTCACATTACCGGCTGAGCTTGAAGCAAGGCGATTACGAGCTGGAAAATGAAAACATACCAAAGGACACTTGCTACCGAGCTCTGTTGAGCCACTCGCCATTTAACGGCCATATGACCTTTACTCGTTCATTCTTTCGGTAAAGTCACGTGGGGTATAAAATACATTTGTGCTTTAATTTATTTTATACCCCACGTGACTTTACCGAAAGAACCAAAGAGTATGGATTCCTGCAGTCACGAAAACTTCAAATCTACATATAACCTGAACCTCCTCCTGGCGCGCGTTATATTGTTTTATAACTTAACTTTTGTTTTGCAAAAAAATGGTGTTACCAAGTATCGATCTGCAGTACTGATTGATATTCTTATTTTATACAAGTGGTTATGGTGGCCACGTATAATGTGGCTTAATTCTGAGCTGTTTCCTGCTGGCGAATCTATGAATTCAAAAAGTAAAGAGATAACAGAAATCATTAATTGTGGACATGAAACCCCAAACTATGGACATATAGTAAACCAATTTAGCCTGCGCCCATTCAACGGAGATGGAACAGCAAAACGACCCAAACCCTCTCCTGAAGCCCTCTCGTCTTGGGTAGCAGACCTCTACATTGCCATTTAGTTTCTGAACACAATGTCATATGCAATAATATAAGCATTAATTGACTGATAAGACTAACCTCACACCACAGTTGCCACTTAACAGAGCACGTGGTAGACTGAAGCGTCCAAGGGCACAGGTTCACCGATTGTGAACCTTACAGTCACTAGATGTCTAAAATGAAATGTCAATAAACAACTGACCGAGTATTATGCATAGCAAACGTATGCAGGATCCGGAATACATACCAATACCCGCCATTCGCCGCTAAGTGACGGTGACGTCACCACGGCGTTTGTGCCAGGCCAGGTGCACTTTGAGACGATGTAAAGTGTCGAAAGCTCATTTACAGAGAAGGTGATGGGACAGACCCAGGTGCTATGGGTTGGCTGACTGAGATGACTAACCACCAGCCGTACCCCCCACTGTGCCAACGTGCTACATTTTAACAGCCCGGCACTCTGCTCGTTGTTGTGAGAGTTACTGCTCCACCCTACGTTGTTGGTGGAGAGCGACTGCCCCCAACTGCCCAGTAACATCCTTCGTGAGTCTCCTCCATAGAGGCCGATCTTGACACCGCTGGTACCAGTCTTCGGCAATTTCACTCAGCTCCGCATCCTACCGTCCCACACCAGTCCATCTCTTCTCCAGCCTGAATACATACCTGCCGTTTCTCCTATATCTGTGCCATGTCCTCGTCCCGGACAGTTGCTAGATGTGACGCTATTTCGTTTGACGATACGTCACTAGTAGGTCACTGGGGAAACACAAAAGTCGATAAAACCTCGGGACAAAATCGCTCGAATTGGCAACAGTCTTGTAACACCCCCCAGTGATTCGATGAATTATGACAATGGGAATAAAATACAGTTAGTCCCTCATCGGTTAACAATTTTTAGGTTAACGTTTCGCCTCCCATAAGACCCCATGGTTTCGACGAACGTTCACGTTTTGATGAGCGGTCACGTGTTTACGTTGTGCACGCGGGGTGCCAATTTCAGCCAATCCGAGCGCTCTCAAGTGGGGCTGAGCCGTGCCCTCGGCCAATCAGCGACGCCCATTTATGAGCCGTTTGGACGTCGATTGGCTTTGTTTACATCGCGTTTTATGTTTTTTTAGCAGTGGAAACAGCTCTCTTGTAGACTCATTGCTATTTTTAAAACGTATTCTTCGACGTGTAAGTGAACTCGACTACAGTAATGCGTTATTATCGTTTGTCTACTTTCGCTCCATTAGCCTAACGTTTTTCATGTGCATTGTTAAGTAATTGATCCTTGCCCGCACGATCAGATGCATTGTGTATTCTTCTTGTACTGTGTAGGTCAGGGGTCCTCAAACTTTTTAAACAGGGGGCCAGTTCACTGTCCCTCAGACCGTTGGAGGGCCGGACTATAGTTAAAAAAACTATGAACAAATTCCTATGCACACTGCATATATCTTATTTTGAAGTGAAGAAACAAAACGGGAATAAATACAATATTTAAAATGAAGAACAAGTAAAGTTAAATCAACAAACTTGCCAGTATTTCAATGGGAACTATGGGCCTGCTTTTGGCTAATGAGATGGTCAATGTCCGGTTCCATATTTGTCACTGCTAGTCGTAACAAGTGATGCAAGTGTGCATCCATTAGTCTAGATCTGGTTGGAGATTTCAAATGTTTCATTCTGGAAAAAGTCTGTTCACAGACATAAGTGCTGCCAAAGATGGTTGCCATTTTGAGTGCATGGTTCCTGAGATGAGGATATGTCTCAGAGGGGAGAGATGCATAGAAATTATGAAGGCTGCTTGACTTGAATGCGTCTTTCAGAGAGTCACAATTCTGCAGTTCAGCCAGCTCCATTTGGTAAATTGTATCCACATTTTCAATGTCAATAGAAAATGGGTTACGGAAAAGCTGTATGTCCTGTTCATGGAGATGAAGCTCTTTAAATCCAAATTGGAACTCCTTTTGCAATTTTTCCAGTGAATCCACACGTTTTGTTTGGGAATGCAACCAATGGTTTTTCCGCTAACAGATTTTGAGTTGTGGGAAGATGGCAGAAGTTTTCCTCCTTCACTTGTTTGATGAGGAGGCCTAATATTACTTCAAATGCTTTGACATGTGATTGCATATCACAGATGAGCTTCCCCTTTCCTTGAAGTTGCACATTGAAACTGTTGAGTAGCTCTGTTACATCTGTCAGAAAGGCAAGGTGCCATTTCCATTCTGCATCATTGAGCTCTGGTACTTCTTTGTTTTTTTAAAGCAGAAAAGCTGTAATCTGTGGAAGTAAGTCATAGAAACGTTTCAAAACTCTCCCTCGACTCAGCCAACGGACTTCTGTGTGATACAGAACATCTTCATAGTCAACATTTAGCTCAGACAGAAATGCCTGAAATTGTCTGTGGTTTAGTGCATGAGCTCTAATGAAGTTAACACAAGATACCACAAATTTCATAACCGAGTCCCACTTCAGTGATTTACTACACAGCGCTTATTGGTGGATGAGGCAGTGTATGGCTATTGGATGAGAATGGTTATGTTTGTCCATCTCTTGGTTAATGCGAGCAATTACTCCTTTCTTAGACCCACCATACTAGGAGCACCATCAGTTGTCACACTGGCTAGTTTAGCCCAGTTCAGCTCCAACCCATTCACAGTTTGGCAAACCTTTTCATAGATATCCTCTCTTCTTGGTTCTTTCGGTAAAGTCACGTAGAAGGGAAGTAATAAAATAATAAAAATAAAACATAATAAAATAATTCTCACGACGTTTCGGCCACAACGCAAGCAGCCGTCCTCAGGTGAAAGCCAGGTCTGTCGGGGAGACAGCATCTGAATGAAACAGCACACGAGCTTGGAGCATATATAAGCTGGGTTGGAAACGGGGGAAAGAGCACCTTGACAAAAGAATTTGCATATCAAGAGGAATTTAGCATATTTATGGGACATGCAGGAATGTTATTAGTACTACATATGCAGCACGGGCATATGTAGTACTAATCACATTCCTGCATTTCCCATAAATATGCTAAATTCCTCTTGATATTGAAATTATTTTGTCAAGGCGCTCTTTCCCCCGCTTCCAACCCAGCTTATATATGCTCCAAGCTCGTGTGCTCTTTCATTCAGACGCTGTCTCCCCAACAGACCTGGTTTTCACCTGAGGACGGCTGCTTGCGTTGTGGCCAAAACGTCGTGAGAATTATTTTATTACTTCCCTTCTATGTGACTTTACCGAAAGAACCAAGAAGATGAATCCCTGCAGTCACGAAAGCTTTAAATCGAAAGATATCCTCTCCTGTAGTTGTTCCTTTGATGCTTTGCAGTGCAGCAAGCTCTTCTGTGACTTCGAAATAGTCATTCGTCGCACGAATAAAAATTTGAAGTTGTGCAGAATCACGAACATCATTGCTTTCGTCGAGTGCCAAGGAAAAATAGGAAAGTTTTTTTGTGGAGTTTTGCAAATGCTGATGCAAATTGTCTCCCATTTCTTCAATCCTCCGTGTAATTGTAGGTCCTGAAAGACTCACTGTACTAAATAAATCGGCCTTCTCTGGACACATCTCTTTGGCAACAGAAAGAAGGCATTCTTTAACAAATTCTCCCTCCACGAATGGTCTGCCAGTGCATGCTATTAGCTTGGCAACTTGAAACCTTGCTCGCAGTGATGAAATATTTAGCTGCTTCTGCTTCACAAAACTATTTCGCTGAGTTGTTAATGTATTTTTCAGTTTTAATATTTTATCTTTTCTCACTTCTCCGACCAAACAAGCAAATGTATCTTTATGTTGAGTTTTATAGTGTTGACGTAAATTGTATTCTTTGAACACAGACACTATATTCTGGCATATCAGACACACAGCTTTTCCTTGTACTGCATGAAAAAATAATCATAAGTCCACTGTTCTTTGAATATCCTACACTCCGAGTCAATTTTTCTCTTTCTTGACATCATTGTTTCCTAGGGAGTCAAAATTGCTATTAGTAAAATACCAATATATATACAGCGCTACAAAAACAATATACCAGCAATAACTTTGCCCACACAGAGACATACAGACTGCACTGCCCATCAATGCAGTCTGATTGGGGGAAACTCCGCCCCCTCTCCCTCTTCCACCAATGACCGTCCTTCTCATGTAGAAAAAAAGTAACAGACAGGCAGCGGCGGCAAAAACACCCGGCGGGCCGGATAAATGTCCTCGGCGGGCCGCATGTGGCCCGCGGGCCGTAGTTTGAGGACCCCTGGTGTAGGTGATGTCGAGAATGTATTTACGGGATACCGTACACGAGACATACCCACTGTCGCCATGTAGCGACTAAGTAGCGCCATCTAGTGGTGTTGATGGTAGTGCTGAACATCTCTTAATTTAACAAAGCCCACAACTGGCATGATGTTTGAATCTTAGTATATTGATATACGTTTGATAATATAACTGACTTGTTAAAAGCCTGTTGATCTAATGTTCTCGATTATCAAACGTATACAGCACATTATTTTATATTGTCAATAAGCAGACGTTATTTATTAGTTATTTTAATATGTACAACAAACGT